CCCTTTCTGGGCATAAGCAACAAGCTCTACTACCAAGAACCTGAAGCGAGTCATGGCCCGAGTATACCAAGAAAAATGTACCAAACTACAACTTTACCCATAGCACCCTATATAGATTCACCATGATCCATCTTGTCTGCTTCAATTTTGAATTCCACTAACTACTACATAAAATCCTCCTCTGAATCCCATCATTTCTGCCCGAACATGCTGCTATGTACTCTATAAATCCAGCTACAAAGCACACGAAGAACATACTTAGTCTAATAGCATGCAACAAGCCAATACCATTCAATAAAAAAAATAATCCATCAATAACAATAAACTTATAGTAATTCATACACAAGAGATACAAAAAGTACCATTCTCCCTAAAATAGGCACCAAGGGTTCTACATATTAAAAACGTCACACAACATTACTATATTCAACCCCCTCATCAAAGTGAGACAACCAAGTTCCTCCGACCAACTCCACTTAGACTACTACTACTACTTAGTACCTACCCGCTTTGTCTCTCCCCGCCATAGATACTACTATATATGACAACTCACTACTAATGAAGTAGTACTTTTGACACTTGACAGGGTGTTGTCTTGGATGACTCCACCCGTTCTACTTATATTAATTGTTTTTGCGCCGTTGAAATCGGGGCTTGGGGGTTGTCTTGCTCTGTTTAGTAGGTGGACAAAAGTACCTATTTATTCAAAATAATTGAGATCCGGGTTTAGGGGGGTAAAAGAGAAGTGTTTAATGTTATGTTGAAGTCTATAAATAAGGAGTAAGTAGTGCATATTAATTCCACATTTACTCTGGGTTCTAAAAATTATTACCCCTTGTACTTTACATAATGGTCAGGTAGGTGGTCTAGGGTAGTACTTGGGAGACAGCAGTTGATAAAAGCAACAATCAACTTACTAGTCTCCCAGTGTCTACTTTAAGCTATCAATTTAGTTATGTATCCTGCTATTATAGGCTTCAATTCTACAGTAGCTATTTAGCGAAGCACTTAAAAACAGCAAATGACAATCTAAATTTTGGGTTACTAGCAACTTCAATAGTATACCGGTTAGTTGCCTTACAGACAGGAAATCTATGTGTCATTCATATATTCGTGGCTGCAATTATTGCAAGCGTTGGAAGGATTCACACTAGTTACACACATTGTTCTTTATTTAAATTGATCTGCGGGGATGAAAAACATCCAGTACACGCCTAGATATATAGTTGACGATGGGCTCAATAATTGCGCTTATCCTTTATTATCATCAATGTTGTTCTCCGTATTGTTCATCTCTTCTCTTCTGTAAGTACTACTATGAAAGCAATAGGGGGTGGGAAATATAGTACTCAGGGGTAGTGAAAGAGTGTGTGATAGGTTACCCGAAGAAAGAAAGAATTACTTATATTCAGGGAAAACGTTAATGGCTTCAACTACGTTCACTAGTCGACGTTGGGATCGTCGCAAATATTTATGCTACGAAAGTTCTTTTTGCACTTTGCAGCGATCTGACCGCTGCGCTTATGCATGTCTTGCAGCCAGGCTAGAAGTAAGCATATGGCTAGTATTGATCCCGCGTGTCGCAACGGTCGGCGAGCGTGGTTTCGCCGTTATCTCGATCGCGATCATCAAGATAACTAAGGACAATGAATGGTCATGCGAATTTACCCCAGAGTTTTGCAGGAAACTTATTCGACTTTGTCAACAAGGTGTATGGTGAGCGAGTACATTGCAAGAAAATGACACTAATATTGGTTCATCAGGGTATGAACATCTAGCTCTGCTCTGACGGAAGTGGGCGTCTCTTGATCTTGAAATCAGGTCGGGCTGGCTGGCCTTCGCTTCCTTCGGACACCTCCATGCGTGAAAGTCGATCCCTCGTCTCCTGTTCAACCTCAGCATGCATTGCTTCCTCTTCGGTTCCATCGCCATTGTCCAACACTCGCTGTGCCGACTCGTCGCCCTTTACCCCTGCGCGACGCTCGTTTTGGATCCGTTCCTGCTCCTGCTTCTTGTCCTTCACTGCCAATGCGGCCTCCTCCCGAGCCACCTCCTGGGCATCTACACTCTGCAGGCCAACAAGACCTAAAATGCGCCCGATGAGAAATTGATAGCGCAAGTGGCCGCTGACGGTCTCGCTAACGTCCAGATTCTCAACGCCGGGCACGTCCTGAACAGGCTGGAGACCTGCCACGCCGAGTTGCAGACTGCTGGTCCGGTAGAGAAGAGCAAGGACGGCGTCATTCTCCGAATACACGTTGATGAGCCGACCGCTAACAACGCTCCGGAGACGACGCCAGTGTGGCGCATTGGACGGAGTAGGTGACCCCATTAGGATTGCCGATTCCACCAGGTCGTATGCGCCCCGCTTCGCCAGACTTTGCAGACAGGAGAAGATGACACGAGAGCCCATCGAGTAGCCTATCAGTGTGACAGCCCGCTCACCCTGAACCTTGCTGATCAGCGCATCCGCAAGGACCTCGCCCGCTTTGTCTGCTCGGGCTTTGGCAATGCTGAACGGGTTATCAGCCACACGGGCAACCTTGAGAAGACCAAGAGGTAGCATCACGGCGCTCATGATCTGCGCGAAAATGGTCCGGGAAAGCACCTGCCCACCCGCTGCCCAGGCAGCGCTTGTAACCAACAGGTTCATAGCATTTCCGAGCTTCATCAATGGCTCTGTTTCCCAGCGCAAGCCAAAAACCTCGGAATCGGCTCCAATGACTCGCCAGGGAACAACAAAGTTGTCCTCTTCAGTAACCCAGCCGGTAATGCCAATCGTGACTCGAAGCATGTGATCATTCTGGGCTGCTTCCCTTTCGTCTTCAGACCTTTGTCGAGAGCCCCGAATAGGCAGAAAAGCAAAATCGTCCACCTCACGGGCATATTTGTCGACCATGCGTCCTGTCATCCGACCTCCGTAGGCACCGAAAAGACCACCCACGATTACTCCGCTACCTGCAAGGGCACCTAGATACCCTGCAGCAGCCGTAGCACCCAGGCCTAGGCCTCCCAAGACTGTGCCAAGGCCAGCTGCAACCAGCGGCGCAGCAAGTCCGCCAGTGATGCCGATCAGTGCAGCTCCTGCGACAGAAGCTATGCCAACCTTCCATTTCCTGGAGGAGTCACGTTTCTTTTCTTGGCCTTCTTCGGCGTTCGCAAGCTGAAGAGCAGTGTCAAGCAATCCACGTGCGACCTTGCTCTCGTCGCCATTGAGGATAGTGACATCGAGATTCAGACTTGACGCTACATACAGCATTAGAACTCGCGAGCGAGCATTATAGTGCTCAAGACTAAGCATCAGAAGCAGTAGCGAGTGAAGAATCAGTAATCTTTTAGCCTTGGGTAGCTGCGTAAGAGGGGTCTCAACAGGTCGGTACACTTCACGTTGCTTCACCAGAGAACCTTGGTCCTCGTCTATTTCCGGCTCATGCAATTGTTGAGGTGGGTCTGATTCACTGGCGTCTTCTTCGGATTCCTCATCTCGGTTCACAACTTCACCAATCCTCAGTAGGACCGAGTCTCTCCAATCATCAAAGCTGGTCAGGGACTTGGCCTCTGATTTGAGATCTTGCGCGGTGGGCTTGTATTCAGATTGAGTAGTCACAGCTGTGGTTTCCTCACTCTGCCCATCCGACTGAGCAGATAGGGGATCGGTGTCCTTGTCCTGTTCTTGTGCTGCTTGGTCACGTGAGGGGTCATTCTCCTTCGAGATTGGACCATGGAAGTTCTGAACGATCGCATCTCGCATGTGTTGGGTGATTTCCGCGACAAGAACTGTCAAGTCGGCTCGCTGAGGGCGATCCAAGATGGTGGTCAAGTCTTGGTCGCGGTCGCTCTTCGGCGGTGCGGGCGAGGGCGAGGGCCCGGATCCGAACTTGCTAGCATGCTTTTCCTTAAATGACTTCCACATATGTGCAGACGGCCACAGAGTCACGTTCCAGAATGGATTATATTGACTAGCCTTCCGTCTCCGCTACAGATGGTTCGTGGAGGGACTTCACAGGTTGCACAGAGAATAAGGAGGTTGTCGGTTTCAGCATTGGCAATGAGATCATGGCTGACTCAGCGCCCAGACCATCAGGTGCAACAGTGAAATAAATGGGTTCGATATTGTGGTTTCCTGTCAGACAGGCTGAACCCAACTTCAGGACAGCTTAGCTCACGCTGACTTTCCCGTATCGACAATGAAGAACTTCCCCTTGGTCTTGGACGCATAGGCAAGCGCGTTTCCATCCCAGGTATCTCCATCGGGCCGCTCGTTCCTCGGACTCTCCACTCGCTGGATTCTCTTGTTTCGACCAACCACTCTCTCCTTGGACAAGGCCTCTCTCAGCTTTTCCAATCCAATTGTATTCTTCTGCACCGCTTCTGGACTTTCGTCCCGGATGCTCTGCAGAGGCTCCACGCCAGTGGCATCGATGCGCTGGACCTGCTTCACAAAGTGAATCTGGGATTCGAGCGTTTCAAGCATCTTCTTCTCTTCTTCCTCATTCGCGGGTTGTGGGAGAGCCGAGAGACGGAGCAGATGGCGGAGTTGCGCTGGTGTCACTGATGGAGCAGATGATTTGGCGGATTCTTCTGGTAGCAACGAGCGAACAGACCACGTAGGCTTCGCAAGCATGGCGTCAATGTCTGCGTCGCCTGATTGGGAGGCAGAGTACATGCGCCTGGCGGTGCTGCACCGTAAAGGTTGACGACCGATCAACGCAGACAGTCGGGGGAGAGCTGCACGGAGGAACATGGTTGAGGAAATTCTAGCAGATGCAGAAATATATACTTCAATAGATAAAAAAAAAATTAAGGGAACGAACAATTGAAGGAATTGTTTCCGTTTGCGACAGTCAAGATGCTATAGAAATACTAACGGAGAAGCAAGAAAAGAAGCACGTCCAATGGACCGGGCGGAAAGTGGCCACCGCCTACGTTGACGGAGCGGCGGGGAGCTCGCCATTCCGCGAGGCTGCCCAGTAAACTAGATCCATCCTCCCATCGTTTCTCCTCATCTTCCAGACATTCATCCCCACTTCTCTTTGCCTGCAATCTGACCTCTAGCATCACGCTCCTCTTCACCTTCTCGGGCCGACAACCTCTTCACAAAATGGCCCAAGATCCCCGAGTCCTGCTCCAACGGGTATTCCCCCCGAACCCCGCTGTCCATCATCGCTATGCTTGGAATACGACGATCGCTAACCCCCATGACGTACATTAGGCCGACAAAGCGCTCAGCAGCGCATCTGGTGGCTTCAGCTTCTTCGGTGGAAGGACAGAGAAGTACGAGAATGCAGCTGATCTCTACACACAAGCTGCAAACGCCTTCCGAGTGCAGAAGCAGAGTAAGCCAGTGATTCTCTCCCCTGTCTCAGATCAACGAGCTCTAACCCATCGCCAAACGATCAGACAAGGAGGCCGGTCTTGCCTTCGAAAAGGCTGCCTCTATTCAGACTCAGAACCTCAACGAGCCCGATGATGCAGCAAACACCCTGACCGAAGCGTTCAAGGTCTACCGCAAATCCGACCCCGAGGACGCCGCTCGCGTGCTCTCCAGTGCTATTCAACACTACGTGCTAAAGGGTAACCTCCGGCGCGCGGCCACGCAACAGCAACATCTGGCCGAGGTGTACGAGGTGGAGCTTGGAGATACGAAGAAGGCGCTGGAAGCCTACGAGAAAGCGGCGGAGTGGTTCGACGGTGACAATGCTGAAGCGTACGTCCATTTCTCGGCCTTCTCATATACAATTCTATACTGATGTGTTGTTCTCCAGTCTTGCCAACAAGCACTACCTGAAGGCAGCAGACCTGGCCGCTCTCGAAGGCGACTACTACAAGGCTATTGAGCACTACGAGCGGATCGGCCGCTCATCGATCAACAACAACCTGATGAAGTGGTCCGTCAAGGACTACTTCCTCAAGGCTGGTATCTGCCACTTGGCGACCAATGTACGGCTGTCCCTCTCCTCTAAACCTTTCAGACATAACTAACCCCACATAGGACCTGGTTGCTGCCAACCGAGCCCTCGAGAACTACCGCGACATCGACACCACCTTTGCCTCGACAAGGGAGCACCAGCTCCTCGTTGACCTGGTCCAGACCATCGAAGCAGGCGACCAGGAAGCATTCGCCGACAAGCTGTTCCAATTCGACCAGCTCAGCAAGTTGGACAAGTGGAAGACGACTCTTCTGTTGCGGATCAAGAACAGTATCGAGGAGCAGGGCGAGGATTTCTCTTAGACTTATTCTATTCTATTCTCTTCTATTCCCAGCAACAATATCATTGTTTTCTCTGTTTTGCTTCCGATCTGTTCATTCATCCATTCGCTTTGTTCTTGGTGGATTAGTTACTTGGGCAGACTTTATAACTGGTGTTCCCTACCCTTACCCCGTTGGCTGGTCCCATAGGTAGATGGATGCTGTGCCGTCGTATAATTGCTTGCGGTTTGTTTGTTTTTTTCTTTCGTGCAAAGATATATTGTGTCCTTGGCTTGCCTGTCTTTCCTGTCCTGTCCTGTTCTATCATAACTATAGCTATTGACATAGGCTGAACGCGCCGATGGATGCGTGGCATGCCTTACTGACAGATACTATCGATGTTCGTGAATGAAGAACAAAAGTGTCTCCTCATTGGGATTCATAGCATCGTAGCTAGATTACTGATTATTGTACTGTATAACATGCTTAGTTTAGGAAGTAAACTGAATAGACGAGACAAGTTGCAGCACTCAAGTCAAAACAAATCAGGTACTAAGTTCAAGCCGACTGTATCCATCTATCTATCTATTTGTCGAACCACTCATCAACGAATGATAATCATAATCAATAACAGTTCATCAATTCATGCCGAAGCGAACTTTTGTGGTATCATGAGTAAGTAGGTGAAGTATGTAATGTATGTAAGTAAAATATCTCTATATCGTTCCTGCATGCCATGCCGTGCCATACCCAAAAACGGCTTCCTGAAGCAAGCGCGAACAAACAACGGCACAACACGAGCTCCAATATCATCTTCAATAGACCACATCCTCCAGAGCGCGAGCCTTGCGAGGGAAAACCCGCTTGTACAGACTGATACCGATAGAGTCCTGGGGGTTGATCTTGGCGTCGAAGGTGGCCTTGAAGTAACCGTGCGTACCGAGGGATTCCTTGATGTAACCGCTGCGGCCGCGTCTGGTCCAGAGCTGGAGGGCCTTGAACCACTGGATGTCCTCGGGGTTGAAGAACATGTAGCGGACGGTGACGACACGCTTGTGGATCTTGTAAGGGTGGCCGGTGAGAATGGCGCGCTTGGCGACAACGCGGGACTGGTCGGGGGCCACGATGGTGCCGTTTCCGATGAGTTCGAGGTTGTCGAAGTTGTTGAGGGAGTCGTCCTCGGCGGAGTCCATAACCTCGGGGTCCTGGTTGGTCTTGTTCTTGAAGACGAGGACGGGCACGGCGCCCCAGGTCAAAGGACCGATCCAGGAGGCGACGGCGCTGCGGCCTGGGTGGAGGAAGCGGTCGAACTTGTGCACGTTGTTGGGGGTGTTGTCGCCGGCGGAGAAGATGGGGTTGACGACCAGACGGCGAGGACCGCATTGAACAACGAGCTGCTCCTTCGACTTCAGAGGCTCCTCGACGCTGGAGTTCAGGTGCATGTTGATGTTGACAACAGTGTGCTTGTGCTCGTGACGGAGCAGAGAGAAGAGGGATGTGGGCTGGGGCCGGCTGCGGAGGGTTGCTGGCACTGCCTTGAGGTGCACATCGACACGTACACCAGGGTTGACACCTCCGACGAGAGCCTCGCGGAGGAACTTGTTCCTGGAACCCTTGTAGTCCGCGAACTGAAGCAGACGGCGCCAGTCCTCCGGCTCGTGGGGACGGTCTTCTGATGTCTCCCAGGGGCTGGTCTTGAAGCTCTTGAGACCTCTGAAGCGGGCCAGACGTTCCCGAGCGAGAACGTTAGGGTGAAGCTCGATTTCGTCAGGGAACTCCAAATCTTCGTTGGCCTCGTTTCTGCGGCTCGCACGGAAATCCTCCAGGTCTTTGGCCTCGTCTTCTGGTGACGGGTCGACGAACATCTCTGACTGGGGATACTCCGATGGGCCAGCCTCCGTCATGGCATCCCTGTTGTCGGGGAAGACACCGTCTTCGGGCGCTCCCGCAGTGTCCATCTCCATCTCTTCAACTTCCTCCTCGTCTTCAAGGTCAGAGCCGGAATCGGACACGTCGCCCAAGAACCAAGCGGACTGGTACTCCGAGGTACCCTTTGGTAGCCTCTTGGGCTTCGGGGGGATGTGAGAATCGTCATCAGAGAAGTAGTGGTGGTCGTCGAGGAGGACACCCTTGCGCTCTTCCTCAACAGGGAAGTCGTCATCCTCCATCTCAATCTCCTCTGGTGCTACAGTGGCCAAATCATCGCAGTCCGCAGAAGGTCCATCCAACAGCTGGGGAGCCTCAGTCTCATCGACATTCATAGCATCGTCACGCTTCCCGCGGGAAGTAGCGAGTGGTGCTGCTGTGATAGCACCAATCTGGAAGTCACCCCATCCAGGGATATGGACCAAGCGGTCCGCCTTCAGACCCTTGCCGCGGACAACACCGGTAACCACGACATCGTCGACCTCCTCCGCATTGGTTTCAGGCCACTGAACGTTTTCGACGAACATCCAGCTGCGCTCATCACGCCAGCGGATACCCTTGGGTGTAGCTGTGCAGAGGGAACGGATGGCGTTGGAACACTCCTGGCGAGAGTCCACCGAGAGGACCTTTTCGACGGACGGGAAAAAGTGGTTCGCAAAAGACTTGAGAGAAGCTGCCACCTGCGGGCGCTTCTTGGCCGGGTTGATCTGGTCCAAACCCTACACAAATTACAGTCAGTTAAAAAGGCAACCATCGCCATATACAAGATACCCGAACTCACCTGAACCATGGCAATGACGTTCGAGATACCCTGACCCTCAATGGACCGCAGCAACAACTCTCCTTGTTCCTCCACTTCGACTTGGGCGGAGAGCGCCAGGACCACGAAATCGGCCATCCGGCACACATCCAGGGCGTTCATCAAGTCATATTTTGCCGGAATGTACTGCAAGGTCTGGCGGAAGCGATCCACACGGACCCGAGTGGCGGAGTCTGGGGAAATCTCCGCGGAAACATCGACACTCTCGTTCAAGGCGCGGATGATGGCAGCCACATCGATATCAACGGAAAGCGGCACAACGGCCACATGACGCGGAGCACCATTCTGACCGGTGAAAATGCTGACGGACTGCGCCTTCTCCTGATGCTTCAATTGCTGCTTCTGACGAGCCTGGTTCCGGCGATCGAGTTTGGATTTGAGCTGCTGGTGAGGGGTCTTGCGGGTGCCCCGCTCTTGTCCTTCGACCTTGCCTGGAAGTATGTCAGTCTATGATGCTATTTCAAGGAAAGAGACACATGAGGGATTCTCCGGCGCACGTACCCTTGGCCTTGTCCTTCAGCGCACTCTTGGAGGCATGGCGAGACTTGTATGGTTTATTAGAGGATTTGGTTGTGGAGCGGTGGTGATGCTGCACCGTCTGGGTGGGCGCCATGTTGGCACCACTGGACCCTTTGAATCGGTACGGAAGAGAGGCCAGCGTGAAAATTTAGAAGAGCGGGTATAAAGCGATACACCTAGATACCAGAGATCACGAATAATAAAAGAGTAGCCTCTAGAGGGATCTGGACCTGATACTCCGGCGGCGGTTGGAGAGGAAAAAATTAGGCGGTGGAGGAACAAGCGAGGAAAGCAAAGCCGCTCGGCACGGATTTTCATCTTTTGACCCGCAGAAAAAGCTGCCGATGAGCCTCCGTCTGCTGCTCTGACTTTTATTGACTGTACGACATTAGCATTATTTGTCGACTCAAACGAGGTCTCTTATTGGACTTCTTTCTATCCCCTCATATTTTTACTCAGCTCCTTATCGACACATCACCCCCATGGCGGGACCAACAACGACGGCCGTTGCGCCGGCCGACAACAAGCGCAAAGAAAGCAAAAGAGTGATGGAAGCGCAAAAGACCTACGGTCGGGGTAAATCCATCCACACCCACAGCGTTCGCGACAAGAAACTGCGCAGCAACCTCAAAGCCGTGGAAGACAAGTACAAGGAGGCCGCCCTGAAGGCCAAGGATGCGGAGATTTTGCTCGAGCACGATGCCGGATTCCTCGAGCCCGAGGCAGAGCTGGAAAGGACGTACAAAGTTCGACAGGATGAGATTCGCGAAAGTGTCGGCATCGAAACAGCCAAGAAGGGATTCGAGCTCAAGTTGACCGATATGGGACCCTACCGGATGGATTACACAAGGAATGGTCGCGAATTGCTGTTGGCCGGGCGCAAAGGGCATGTGGCGACGATGGACTGGCGGAATGGAAAGCTGGGATGCGAGTTGCAGTTGAACGAGACTGTGCGCGATGCTCGGTGGCTGCACAACAATCAGTTCTTCGCCGTGGCGCAGAAGAGATCCGTCTATATCTACGACCATGCCGGTGTGGAACTGCACTGTCTCAACAAGCATCTCGAGCCTCTTTTCCTTGAATTCCTGCCCTACCACTTCCTTCTTGCGAGCGCTGTGAGTGCACCTGCTTCCCAATCTATAGCCACGGAACTCATACTAACCATTTCTTCATAGCAAATGAGCGGCTACCTCAAATACACCGACACCTCAACCGGCCAAATGGTCGCCGAGCTGCCCACCCGCCTCGGTGCTCCCACCTCCCTCGCCCAGAACCCATGGAACGCCATCCTACACGTCGGCCACCAAAACGGCACAGTGACTCTCTGGTCTCCCAACTCACAAACTGCGCTCGTGAAGGCCCTTGTCCACCGCGGCCCCGTCCGCTCGATGGCTATTGACCGCCAAGGCCGGTACATGGTATCGACCGGCCAAGACCAAAAGATGAACGTCTGGGACATCCGCATGTTCCGCGAAGTACACAGCTACTCGTGCTACCAACCGGGCGCCTCCGTCTCCATCAGCGACCGGAATCTCACAGCCGTGGGCTGGGGCACGCAAGTCAGCGTATGGCGGGGTCTCTTCGACGCCGCGGCCGCCGACCAAGGCAAGGTACAGAGTCCCTACATGGCCTGGGGCGGCGACGGCCAACGCATCGAGAACATGCGCTGGTGTCCCTTCGAAGATGTTCTCGGTGTGGGCCACGACCAAGGCTTCGCCAGCATCATCGTCCCCGGCGCCGGTGAACCCAACTTCGACGCTCTGGAAGCCAACCCGTACGAGAACACCAAGCAGCGCCAGGAAGCCGAGGTGCGCGGTCTGCTGAACAAGCTGCAACCGGAGATGATTTCACTGGATCCCAACTTCGTCGGAAAGCTCAACACGATCAGCGACAAGAAGAACCGCGAGGAACGCGATCTCGATCGCAGACCCGAAGACCCCATGGAGAAGCTCAAGAACCGTGGTCGTGGTCGCAACAGTGCGTTGCGCAAGTATCTGCGCAAGAAGGGTCGACGCAATGTCATCGACGACAAGCGCGTCAAGGCCGAGATGTTGCGCAAGGAGCATGCTGCCCGGCACAAGGAGAAGTTGCGCTCCGAGAGGGAGAATTTGGGTCCCGCGCTGGCGAGATTCGCCAAGAAGGAGATTTAATCTTCTTCTTCTTCTTCTTCTTCTGTCGAGAACGAGTGCACTTGTGTTTAGTATTCTTCTTGTCGTTCTGCTGCTACTGCTACTGCTGCTGGAGGACGACTTTCAGATACCCTGCTTTAACTATCTAACCATCGCGCGAGAGGATTTCTGTTTCCTTTCCCTCTCTCCCCCCATCTTTATTATCGTCTGTCTCACGATCCTTCTTTCGAGCAACTGGTGTGCGTCTGTTTGTCTGCATTATAAGGGCGTTTGTTGGGGTGAGATACAAAAACCGGACATGTTGGGAATGTATGTATATCAAATCAAAAGTTTCACGATAGACCGCCAACCTTCTTCACCAATGAACAAGAAACAAACGAACAAATAACTAAATAATTGAAATATTCTTTTATATAAATAATAATAATAACATTAAACTAAATCACGCATCATCCACACTCCCAGACCCCCTCTTCGCACCAGCCTTCCACCTCGCCAAACTATGTTCATACGCACCGCTCGCCTTCCAAGCACTCAAGATCAGATTAACAATATCCTGGACTCTAGTCCCACTCTTAACCACAGCAAACACCGTCGGTCCACCCTCTCTCATCTTAGCCGCATCCCTCTCCATAACCGCCAAGTCCGCACCGACGGCCTCAGCCAGATCGATCTTGTTCACAACCAGCAGATCCGAGCCCGTGATACCGGGTCCACCCTTGCGGGGCACCTTATCACCACCAGCGACATCAATCACGTAGATAATGAAGTCAGCCAGCTCGCGACTGTAGTTAGCGGCGAGATTGTCGCCGCCGGATTCGATGAGGAGGAGGTCGGTTTGGAATTGTCTGTGCAAGGTTTGCAGGGCCAGAAGGTTGGCGCTGATGTCTTCGCGGACGGCGGCGTGAGGGCAGCCGCCGGTTTCGATGGCGCGGATGCGGGACGGGGAGAGGGCTTTGTGACGGGTGAGGAATTCGGCGTCTTCTCTGTTTGGTGGTGGAAAGGGGCATTACGTTAGTTTATTACTGCTTGTCGGTGTTTGGGGGGGAGAGGTGGTGGACGGGGAGGGGTTGTATGTATACCTGGTGAAGATGTCGTTGGTGACGGCGGCGATGTTGTACTCGTCGCGGAGGGCCTGGCAGAGGGCCAGCATGAGGGCGGTTTTACCCGATCCAACGGGACTACATGGATGAGTTAGATGGAAGGTGCAAATGGGTGTGAGGGTAACTTACCCTCCAATGCCAATGGTAAAGGCACGGTCCTTCCAGTCACGCTCCTCCGAGAGAGGCATCTCGCGGTTTATGTATGAACCGGGACCGTCGAGGATCTCGTGGGAGTGGCCGTGACCACCGAAGTCATCGTGGGAGTGGCTGACGTCGTTGTCGTGAGAGTGGGAGTGAGACATGATGAGATAATTTGAGGGATGGTAAATGAATTATGAACAGAAAGAAGAGAAAGTGGAGGGAGGAGAGAGGAGGAAAGAAAGTAGTAGTGGATGGAGGGGTCACTCACATTGGGAGGGGAGCCCCAGGCCGGAGACTGCCGATGCCGATGCCAGGCGCAGTATTTAGTGGAGAGTCCCCGCCAAACTAGTAGTCGGATGTTCGGTACCACGTATTATTCGAGAATGAGAGAGAAAAAAAAAAAATAGTAGTAGCAATAATAGTAGGAAATGCATTGCTCTTCCACACGTACAGTAGTAACAATAGTAAACGGCAGCAACTATCAACACAGAATTATTTCCAGGGAGGTAGAACCGGACGCCGGAGCACTTCAATCGCCCATGATAAAAACGTGGATATCAAAAATCCTGTAACGCTCAACTTCAGGATATGTGTCAACCGCACCTCAATCCCCGCGCGGCACAGCACATGCAGATAGGGACATCAGTCAAGAAATACGGCAAAATCAGTAAGCCCAACGCAAATCCACATAACACGCATCTCCATCTTTCGCATGAGACATCAAAGGGGAACGCAATCGGCAGCTATGTTCAACATATAACAGGAATCCCGCAGATGGTTCGGAACGCAGAAGTAGAGCCTCGCACATAGGTATCCTAAAGGTACGCCATATTCCCGCCGAGTGAGACTGAAAGAGAAAAGAGTTCAGAAGTAGAAAAAGAGAAGACACGAGCACACCCAAACCAGCGACAGACAATATTACTGGCTGATCGAGGTAGACAACTTAACCACCCCCCTTCTGCTTTTTGGCCCCTACTCGAGGACTGGCCTTCACTTTAGGGGCAGCTTGGCCGGCTGTCCCATTAACCTCGCCGCCGTTGTCATCGTTCTCCATCTTCACGGTGCTAGCCCGACGGCGCTTGTTGCCCACATTAGGACTTGCGCTTGCACTGGTCCCCTGTGCCATATTGCCTTGTACTTGACCCTGAGGAACCATTCCCGGCGGTCCTGCGAGGTGACTCTGGGCGGGACTGGGATGCGCGGAGCCGGTTAGATGAGGCGAGCCCTGAGCACCCGGCAAGCCGAGATGAGTCATGGCAGGAGATGCAAATTGGTTAGGCATGCTCATACTGGGAGCCCGTGGCTGGCCTTGCTGTAGGGCCGGGTTCATGGGACCCTGCGTATAAGCTGCATTGGGAGGCGGCGCCTGCATCGTGTTCACCAGAGTCCGCAGGGCTTCGGAAGGTGTTAAGTGGGGATTTTGCTGGGAGAATTGGAATAGGACTTGCATGTGAGAGATGGTTTCCGCAACCTATAGCACAGGAGAGTCAGAAGAGTACTTTCATAGCGATTATGTGGAAGGGCTCACCTCAAGGAAACTCATCACAGCCGTAGGGACGCCATTCGGAGTAACCATGGATTCGGGCAAGGTAAATGCAGGCTGTTGTGCTTGTTTGGCCTGGGCGCGTTTTCCCATATTCTTGGACACCTTGGGACTTTGTTTCTGTTGATCGGCCAGCTCCAGAGCCTGTAGCTGACTCCTAGGCAGGTATTCGTTGTGGTCCAGCACCGCGATATCGAGCATCTCAATCTTGTTGTTCATATCGAAATGAGCCGTCATGTTGGCGCGCGCAAAAAGCTAGTCCACGTCAATATAACAGCGTATAATAGAAAGGGCAAGGGCCGCGCATGCATACCTGACTTCCATTCGCGAACCAATAGATGAAAGCAGTCTTCGCACTCTCCACTATGTGGCCTCCGTTCGGCGAATCCCTCTCCCGCGCTCCATCAACCAACATCTGTATATGCTTGATCCCACTTGTACACTGGGTCAAGTAATAGCGCGCCAAAGCAGGAGTGGCAATCTCAAACTGCTTGGAGGAATTTGCTTGGGGGTTACAGACGGTATGTCTTAGAACACCGCCCGGCGAATAGAATCTAAGCACGAAATTGTGCCATTGGTTGTAATCGGTGCTCGCGTTCTCAGTGCCCTGTTAACAGTTAGTACTCGGCCAGGAGGACATGATGAGCCAAAAATTGTCAGTTTGACATACGGAGATGTAGCTGAGGCTTTCGGCAAAGGAGTTGAGCTGCAGGATGGCAGCGCCTTTCATGTTCATCCGTTGCTGTTGCTGCTGCTGCTGCATCATCATGGCGGTCGGATTTTGCTGCTGTTGCGCCTTGATCTGGGCTTCCTGGGCAGTCATCGGTGGCTGTTGTTGACCCTGCTGTGGACCCTGCTGGTTAGGTTGAGGTTGAGGTTGGGCTTGGGCAGCTTGCGGTGCTTGTGGTTGCTGGCCCGGTTGCTGAGCCTGCGGCAGCTGTTGCGGAGGTGGATTGGGGGTAGGTTGCGGCTGAGGAGCTGCCGGCTGCTGTTGCGGTGGTTGTGAAGTAGGTACCGGCGGAGGATTGGGTTGAGGTGTGGCACTCCCCTGGTGTGGCGGCGGTCCCGGCTGAGGTTGAGGAGTGACACTCTGGGCATCGTGCACATTCTGGGGTTGTGCCGCTGCACGCTGCTGGGGGGTCTGCTGGCCGGGCTGCCCTGCGGCAGCCGCCTGTTGGATCTGAGCCTGGTGCGCTTGTTGCTGGGCTTGCTGCATGGCAAAGAATTGTTGTTGCTGCTGAAGATTTTGCGGCTGTCCATGGGGCATTTGTTGAAGTTGCATTTGCAAATTAACCGGGCGCATGGCAGGATTCGCCTGCATGGCAGCGATCTGAGCTGCATTGAGGGCGGGTGCCCCGTTCGGTAGCTGCACTGGTAACCCGCCGTGCTGTTGCTGCTGCTGTTGCTGTTGATGCTGAAGCATCATACGCTGCCTGAGATATTGCTGCTGCTGGTGCTGCTGCAGGAGTTGAGGGTTGTTGGCAACTAAGTGATGAATAGGTTAGCACGTGAGAAAAGACACGGCACAGACGGGGGAAAAAAAGCAATGAGAATAAACTGTGCAGGACGACGACGGAAAGGGGGTCGCCCTGGAAAGACTCTGGGAAACATACACTGTTGTGCAAAATGCGGCTGCTGGAACATGTGCGCTTGAGCAGGGCCAAGATGCGAGAGCGCATGAGCCTGTGCAGCACTCCCCGGACCAGTTGTGCCAGCGCCCGGAGGCATCCCACCCATCACCGGTCCGCCTTGACTAACCTGAGGACCTCCTGGTGCCGACACTCCGGGATGCATCTGCTGGACCATGCCAGCACCGGGATGAGCATTGGGATGTTGACCGGGAGCCATTGGATGACCTGGAGGCAAACCGGGATGCTGTGGGATGCCTTGATGGGCAGGAAACGTTTGCGCCATCATCATGTCGTGGTTACGAAGTCGCCGATAACGGGACTCCTCAAAGTCGGTGAGAGACGGGAAGGAGGGGGTAAAGAATAGGGAGCACGACTATATAGCACAAGGAAAGGTAGATTGGGAGGTCAAAAAAGAGAGACGTCGAGCGAGAAAGGCAAAAGACCGTCGTGTCGACTATCCGGCACGCAGAGGGCGGGCGTCGGACTCGAGGAGCGCGCTTGACGTGGAGGCACAACAGGCCGCTTTTAGTGTCGGAGCGGAGGCCAAGACGCAGCTGACGGGGCGATTGAGCCTGCGTCGGTATCACCCAGGACCACACGAGATCTGGAGCATGGATCGGACCGGCCTAATCACCTGTGCCCACCAGATCGGGAGGGAGGAGAAGATCCTACACCTCCAATGTTAGTGGGAGGGAACGATTTAGAAGGAGGCTGGGGGAGGTTAGGTGGATGATCGGGAACGGGAGTTGGTGGTGGTGAGAGACAGCAGTGAGGAAATGGAATGATGGGGGTGCTGGGCAGTGAAAGTAGTAGGGTAGACTAGTAAAGTTGGTAGTGATGGGATTAGGGAGGCCGGGAGGTGTGGAGGGGCTAGGGGCCAACGAAAAGCGAGACGGGCACCTGTCGCGATCGCCAGTTCAATCGCTCGATAACGAACGGGGCGTGCTGGACCGAACCTCGCGGGAAGAGAGATTAAAGTGGTACCCAAAGACACTTACCACGCGCAACAGAACTAGCAGCCCAGAAGCGGGAAGAGGGGGGAAAGGAGGAAAATATGGAGGAGGAGGGAGAGGAATGATGGGGGTTAAGAGGAAGAGAGAGAGGAAAGAAAAAAAGAGCGAGGTAGAGAGAGAGGGAAGGAGAACAGGAACCGTACGGGAAGCAGAAGATACTAAGGCAGGGAAAGGGACGAGCCAGCGAGAGAGAGTACAGCCGGGACAACACTTACTCACTCACTCAGAAAGTCAGTCGGAAACCAAGTGAGAGAGCGAGAGAGACAGAGACAGACAGACAGACAGACAGGCAGACCAGACCCATGGCGAGATCTTCTTCCTTCCTCCGGCCTGCTGAGGCTTTTCTTTTCTCACTTGTGATTGGTCCATTCTTGACGATGGCCACCCACCGCGACTTGCTCGCTATTCCTCTTTCGGGTAAGCCGGCATCACGTGGAACCCGGAATAATATTCTTGCGCGTGGGCTGCTTTTATTATTTTCGGTCGCGATTTGGTTTTTCTTCTTCCTTCTCTTCAGCATTCGCCTCTCCATGGCTCAACACTCCTGCCAGGCTGCTTTTCTGACTTTTCCCAGAATTGCAATTTGATCCTGTGCCTCTGCAATCTTCTTGGTTCTGGTCTGGATACGCCACGCGTCAATCCTATGCCCAGTTGTAGCTTTTCGCAGTATAAATGCATACTGAGACTGATACATCAGACCACTACACTAACACATCAGGTTGTGCTGCAACACTTCCAGTTGTCACAAGGTCAGTCTCAATTCCTCATTTTCTTTCTTGCAATTGTCCTGTTTCCCCCTCCATCCCATCCCCTTTTCAAAGATGACAAAACCTTCTTTTCTTCTTTATCCTCTGAATCGTCCATGAGGAGATAGTTCGGACCTTCCTTTCCCGGTTGGTCTGCTACTTGCCAGTATACTTTGTCTGAGAAAAATTCATCATTGCATTATTTTGTGCCTCGTTGTCATTCATCCTATGTCATGGGAGTATTGGCTGACATTTACCAAGATTTTCAATTTAGGACTGTTGATAATATTATTTTCACTCTGACGTCGATTCTCTTGTCAAACCAGCATGAGTGGTGGGGTACAGGAATCCGGTTGCATCAGGCTTTGCTTCGGTGTCGATCATCTGCTCTGGCTGGCGCCATTCCGTGCAGATTCACATTTAGACAAACTGGGAATAATAAAATCATTCATTTCTGGATCATTCCACTTCTTGTTTTCTTGTTCACCGTAGATTGGGTATGCGTTGCATTATACTTTCCGTAAGCCGCAGTAGTTCTCTGGACAGGAAAAGGTGCAGCTGAGCAAAGCACCATCGACCTGGATGATGCATCATGTCGAGTTGACACCTACGTTTGTTGGCCTTCCCAGGTGGTTAGATCACTGCAATCAAGCTTAAATCCTCTCTGCCTGATCCACTGGGTCTCTTTGCACTTGCAGCAGCCACCAGCCCATTGTCAGTCACGTGATACTACAGTTCGGCGCGCTGACAAAGGAGAGCCGACCCGCAAGGAACAGTCCAGAAAGGCAAGATGAAAGTCTTGCTGCCCTGAATCCAACTTGCACCCACGCTGATGCAGACGGTTTGTTCCCTGCAGCGTCAGCAGTAATTCGATTATTCAGTTCCGGCGGCATTATTGGCCCCGGATGTATTCGTCAATGCACCAAGGCAGGTTCCTTCGGTCTGTAGCACGACCCTGCCGATTCATCGCGCATCGCCGCTATCCCGCCGCCGTTGTCTCGCAATCGCGTCGGTTCCATCTTTCGCAGCCATGGCTGTCGTCCACTCCTTCTGATCCTCATAATGCTCGGGATTCGACAACGGGGAATGTCCCCGGTGATATCCCTACTCACAATGCAGAACCCACATTAGCTAGCCGTGATGCTTCCGTTGCAACACCTTCCGCAGATCGATTGGACAAGAAAGACGCGAAACCCTACGGTTCGGCAGTTCGCAGAGCTTTACGGAACAGACGCCCGGCGAAGGAGTGGACTGCTCCGGTTGCCACTGTTCCCGACTGGTTCTACGAGCGAAACACGGTGGTCAATGATGGAAAAGGAGACGGTGACGTCAAATTACTACAGCATGTGAAGATACGGCCGACGGAAATTGAACCGGAGAAGGAGGAGGCCACACAACAGCTAGGACGGGGCGGTAGTGGAGAAGAGCCGCCTGCGCATGAGGGATCTGATACTCCGGAGGATCGGTATGCTTTGACGGAAGCGCTGTGGGAAGAGCTGTGCGCCTCTGCCCGAGCCGGGTTGCGGCTACCGCCCGCCAAGTACGCCCAAGAGCCCTCCGCACGCAAATCGCATCTTGTTCTTCAGTACCCGGGTACCGATGGTATTCTGTTCTTGGATGCGGTGGTGAAGAGGCTGGCCCAAGAGCTGGGGGCGGATTTGATTACACTCAACGCGCAGGACATTGCCCAGCTATGCAGCGAACAGGATTTGGCGGACATCGGTACAACATCGCCCATCAGATCCCTTGGCTACGAGGTATATCGGCCTTCTCTCTCTGATACCTGGCAAGACGACGGCATGGGTGATGGGGATGCCGAGGACGACGTTGACACACCACGCAGTCTCCGGTCGGGTTTGCGTCCCAAATTTATAACTATTGAGAGCACTCGTGACTCGGGAGATATTGCGCTTCCCAACCTAATGGGCCTGAAGTCGTTGGTGGCCTCGTTCAACGCGCCAGCGGACCAGATAGGTGGCTCTTCATCACAGAGTGCTGTGAATCGCGCAGAAGACAGGCGACTTCGACTTGTTCGAGAGCTCCTTTCGTCGCCCGGCAAGCCGTCGAAGCAGGTGTTGCCAGCAGCGACTGAAGGAGAAGACTCTGCTGCGCACGAATTGGCGGAAGGTCGCAGTCCCGCCGTGGAGCGAGATGTCATCGTGCAAGTACAGGATTATGGGGACATCCAGACCACCCGCGAGGGCTCCAAGTTCATCACTCTGTTACAGAAGGCTATAGAGGAGAAGAGAAAGGCTGGTGCCCGGGTCCTCTTTATTGGTACATCGGCACAGGAAGCTGCACCTGATTCGGATGCGGCCAAGCTCATGCAAAACGCCTTTGACGATCAATTCTCCCAGATGCTGGTCATCACACCCGCCATGAAGTCTGAGGTGGCAGAGCGCGTATTCGCGGAAGACCGCAAGACGCGCACTCTCGATATCAACATTCGCCACGTGCAAGATCTGCTCCGAACGCGGCTCGCCGACAGCCCTTCGGCGCTCAAGGACGACATTTACCGTGATCGCGCCTGGCCTTTGGATGCGTCCCTCGTGAAGGAAATTGGCCTCGATGAGCGGTACTGGCCGTACAGCCAGGTTCACTGGGCTACGACTCTGGCACTTGGTTCTCTAGGAGCAGATGAAGCTTTCGGTTATGATCACATTCGGCGGGGACTTGAGATGATGCAGAAGACTGAGCGTGTCAAAAACGACTGGCTGCACGAGAAAACGCCCAAACCGAAGGCTACCGAGACAGGAAACGACCGGGAGCGCTTGTTAGGCTCCTTGCGGAAAACGTGCAACTCACACGAGAAGAAACTATTGAACGGAGTCGTGGATGCCAAGAGCATTCGCACTACATTCTCTGATGTTCATGTGCCACCTGAAACCATCGATGCATTGAAGACTCTGACCTCTCTTTCTCTGATCCGACCCGAAGCGTTCACCTACGGTGTCCTGGCGACTGACAAGATCCCTGGTTTGTTGCTCTACGGGCCTCCAGGTACGGGTAAAACCCTCCTGGCGAAAGCCGTCGCTCGTGAAAGCGGTGCCACCGTCTTGGAAGTCAGTGGGTCTGAAGTCTACGACATGTACGTTGGCGAGGGCGAGAAGAACGTCAAGGCCATCTTCACGCTAGCTAAGAAGCTGAGCCCCTGCGTCGTGTTCATCGACGAGGCCGATGCCATCTTCTGTTCTCGCACTGGAGCCAGCAGCCGAACGTCACACCGGGAACTTATCAACCAATTTCTGCGGGAATGGGACGGGATGAACGACATGTCCGCCTTTATCATGGTTGCCACGAACCGACCATTTGATCTCGACGATGCGGTTCTCCGGCGTCTCCCCCGGCGACTTTTGGTGGATCTTCCGACCGAACAAGATCGCCTGGCCATCTTGAAGATTCATCTGAAGGAGGAAACCCTGGACAGCTCGGTTGATTTGGCCGAGCTGGCTCGTCGCACGCCTCTTTATTCCGGATCCGACCTCAAGAACCTTTCCGTTGCGGCCGCTTTGGCTTGTGTCCGGGAAGAGAACGACCTGGCAGCGCAGCACCAAGGCGAAGAACCGTACCAGTATCCCGCGCGACGCACCTTGACCTGGAAGCACTTCGAGCGTGGTATGGAGGAGATTAGCGCATCGATCAGCGAGGACATGTCATCACTCTCTGCAATCCGCAAGTTCGACGAGCAGTACGGCGACCGCAAGGGCCGACGCAAGAAGGCGCCTGGCTGGGGCTTCATGCCGGCGGGCGTGGACGAGTCGGCAACTAGCGTGGATGCGGCGCGCGTCCGGACCTGAACTGGTTCAATTGTACAGCGTTAAGCAATTGGGGGTTTCCAATAGAAATGGATTGCTTGGATGTTTTTCATGTCACATAGATCAACTTGATATTTTTCGCGTTTGTGTAGGTCTGAATTTGGGCTGGGATTGGAATGGCACGCAAGGGCAGGAACTGGGCTTGTATACTACGAACTGATTAGCGACACGAACCACAATGTATCAATACAATACCGCTGCAGGACACGATTCCAATTGAAATTGTAACCGATAGATAATATTAACTCTCAATACAACAGGAGAAGATCCATGAATTGGGATGATGGAATGAATTGACCAAATCGGTTGCGGTAGCAGTGTGAATTTTGCGGGGAAGAAAGACTAAAAAATCCAAAAGAGGAAGATGCAACAGTAACTTGAATGACATCGACGAGGCGGCAGCTCTCCTTGGATCAGCCAACCTTCTTTCTTCTCTTCCTTCGCCAACTTCTCTTTCTCCTCTTATTTCCCCCCCGCCACCATCGTTTCAAGTTTCAGTCCCTCGCTTCTATTCTTCCTTCTTGGTGGCTAACTTCTATCCCACCCTGCAGAATCTCTGCAGGCCCTCTTTTCCTCCTCCGCACGCGACCAAAAAAAATCCCCGCGCCTTTCTTCTAGGGTCTGGCTGCCCCTCTGGCACATCCCCTCACGATGGCAACCGAGGCCCGCGATGCCGCCATCCGAGATGCGAAGCGTTATGTTCGCGAGATCGTCCGAAACGACTGGGTCTTTGAACTCTCCTCCGAGCCTGGCGTTCCTTCATTCTCATCTCCTCCCACCCCCGACCAAGATGTCCTACGTTGGCGTCAACGCGAATATGACAGCTCCGGCTCCGAGCTAGAACCCCAGCCTTCGCCCGCCATCAGCCCTGTTGGTGGTCACAATGCCTCCGAGCTCGCCAGCCCGCTCGGAACCCCGCTCAGTGACGACTCCGAGCGGAGGCGCAAACGGCGCCGCCAGATGGAGGAGGAAATGCAATGGAACGCAGGCCTCCGGACATGGGTAGAGCGTCGGGATGCGTGGTCTGGAGCTCTCTCAAGGGACGCGATTCGAGCAAGAGAAGCAAGGACCCAGCAGGCTGCTACACCTACGACATCATCCTCGGAACAACAGCCTCCACATAATGCGTCCGTGCCTGCTGCTACTACCGTGGCCACTCCTCCCCTCTCCGCTTCGTCGGCCAATTCCCAAAACGATCTCGCCCTGCGAACTGAAGCTTCTCTCAGCATCGCCGAAAATGACAGCGCGCTCCCACGGCCGCCATCTCGCGGCGAAGAACCCTCCACGGCAGCAGAACAACCACCCCCGCCTCCCCCCGCAGGGGAGGACGAGAATCAGGGTGGAGAGTCTTCTTCCTCCGCAGATACCGGGTTGAGTCAACCTGACTCTGCGCATCAACAATTAACCAGCGAAGACCCCTTCATTCCTGTCGTCTCGTCCCTCATCTCCAATGACAACCCCATCCGCGCCTCCATCACCCCAGCGATGTACCCATCCATCTACTCCAAAGTCGTCATCCAGGGTCTCACTCCCACCGTGCCGATCAACCTAGCAGATGTAACCAAGGCCATGGTTCAAGGCTGGAAATCGGACGGCCAATGGCCTCCGAAACCCTCCTCGATCGTGCTCCAAGACACCGCGACGGTGCGGCCCAAACCTGAGGAGCCTGCAGATAAGCCTCCCTCGTCACCCGAGTCCAAACGGCGCTCGGGTGTAGCCAGCGCCGTGCGCAAGGTCTTCCACTTCTCAGGCTTCCATCCGCATCATCCTTTCCACCGGAGAGGATCAAGCAGTCAGCAGAATGAAGGGAATGCTGAAGGAGGTGTGAACCAATAGTTGCTAGCCTACTTTACCTTTACCTCACTTTCTATTCTATATTCACCCTCGCCTCGCTATTATGACGATGACTTTGATGATTTTATCTTGATTTGCTGTAAATAAGCTAAGCTGAGCTAAACCAGGCTATCATTGATAACTTTGGGTTCAGGTATTGGTTTGGGGGGAACTTCTCATGACTTATCAAATGTACGCTCACATGCATGCATGCATCCCACGCGCACACACATATGCACGGGCGTGCATAATCAATTTGTCATGCATATTGGCTACTACAGGCACTTACCTCTTATCTATCTACCTACCTAGTCTCTTCTCTACTGTTTCCTTACTGCCCCCCTCATCATTTATATTCCAACTAACATGCTATGCTTGTGTTTGTCAGCACCTCTTTGCTTTTCCTCTTCTCATTGCATCCCCCCCTCTTGTTATATCTCATCCCGATGACTATGTTCTCCCCTTGAATGACTACTCCGAAATCTCATTAATATATGCTATTCCACCTACCTAACTGCCTATTTGCTTGTTGGTTTGTCTGTTTGTCTATGTGGTTGTTCACTACCTTTCACTATGGATTTGGGGCATACCAGCCCAGAAGGCAGTTACTAGTTACCTTTTGATGTCCATTTCATAAACGTCATGAGTCGAACGAAGATGCAATGGGGGTGTATGTTATTTTAGGCCTTGAGATTTGACATATTAATTTGGAGAAGATATTGCATGCTGCATACTTTGCTTGGCAGATTGCTTAATGGGTTCTGTTTGTGTAACATGATTGGGTATAGCTGTTCTTCGTTAGTATGTATGGATTGGAAATGGAAATGGATTTGGAAATGAAATGGAATGGTGGTACTTACTAATATATGAATGGAGGCCATTGGATGAAATTGATCGGGAATCTTTACTAGTTGGTCTTTCTTACTGTTCATATAAGTATTTAAGCTATTGTCCGGTTATCTGGCTACCTATGTTGATACTACTATTAGTTGATATGTTTTTGTATTGATTGAGCGAACCTCGATCAGGTATACACGTGACACTACTACTCTTTCGAGGTAAATCTCCATTTAGTAATGTATTCCATTTCTTTGCTCATTATCAACGAGTATGCAAGCTATATGTATCCCTATGGTAATGATCTCTGTCTATATTGGTCTATAGTATCAATTCATCATTCGATTATATAATTCATCATCTAGAGCAAGTGGAGTATCGTACAAGATCACTATCAATAATAATATCAATATCATGCCAGTAAGGTCATCATGTCCTTAACCATTCAGTATCCAATAACATCGACAAGGTCGAGAGTATATATCGTATTCGCATTCGCAGACTCAGACGGTTGATCTGGATGCTGAGCTGCAAACAGAGACTCCTCAGCGCGATCAACATCGTCGCCATCTAAACCAAGATCAAGTCCTCTCATCACATCCAGGAACTCTTGAACAACAGGGGCGAGGATCTTCTGCGAAGACTGTTCGAGTTCTGCAGCGACAGAAGGCTGAATGCTGATTTCCTGGGGCTGATGTGCACCGCGTCTAGTAAAGTAGAATTTCTTTTGATGGCGGGACCAGCTCTCGTTGAGGTAGAGGTGCAGCTCTCGTGCTGCGGAACGCTGCAGATCAGGGAAGAAGGGCGGGTTCGTGACTATAGATGAGAGGGAGTCTCCTGCGCTGAAGGCTTCGGTGGACTGGGGTATATCGTATAGGTCCGTGGTTGAGAGGGGTTGGTTGAGATGGCTTGTGGCGAAGGTGACATAGTGTTGGAAGGCGTGTATCTGAGCGAGGATTCTTTGATCCATGTCGGTTGCTCGGTCTATATAGTCGATGATTGGCAAGGCGGCTGTGATCATCCTAATGAAGGCAGCGGCGCTGATTGCTACGGCAGGGTCGTTCAGCATGGTGGCATTGCTCGTTATGGACAGGAGGGCGGTGTGTGATGCTTGGAAGACGGAGTGGATGACGTTCACGAGGGATGCCACGCAGGCAGAGTCTGTGGTATCCATGTTGAACAAGAGATCCTGAAAGACGAGCGTGATGGTCTGGATGATGGGCCGGCTTAGAATCCAGCATGCTGGGTTGCTGAAGGACGCCTCGAGATAGGCTGGGAACACTGCCTGCAACAAGGTCGCCCTCAGAGTTGGCTTGTCGGGAAGGCCACCCTCATAGGTGTCTGCCATAGATGCGTGTAGCTGGTTGACGAGGTAATCCTGCTGCCCATCGATCGCCGCTCGCTCAGAAACACTCTGAATGAACATGATGAGCGTCTTTGCTACTTTCTCCGAGGCAAGTTTCGGCTCGTAGCTCTTTAACCGGGCCACGATATACGTCGGGTCACCAGAAGGTAGAGGGAACGACGCGGGATCTGTGAAGAATGGGTCGATGGGGCAGATGTCTCGACTATGCTGCTGCAGGAATGCGACAATCCGATGAACGAAGTCCACGTAAGCGCCCTGGACGCTGGCTGCACCGTTGCCCAGTTCCAGATAGTTTGCCTTCATAGCGGACATCATGTTTTGAATGATCTCCCGGTACTCTTGCTTAGTAGTGGAGAGCTCCCGAGCTTCCACATCCTCCAGAGATTGCAAATGCGCACGCATGTTGGAGAGCACACTGGATATCAGAGAAACCCGGCGGTGGCTTAGATCCTCCAGAGTGATCATGTACCTTCCTTCTTTCCGGTCCCTGGCAAAGGGCAGATTCTGCAAAAGCGGATCCGTCACCACTTGATTGAGCAAAGCTTCTGTTAGGCGATGTTGGTATTTCAGCATCGAGACTCGCTCTACTAGACTCGACACCCACATCCCGATCACTTGGACTTTGCAATCTGCTGCAAACCGTGAGTCTTTCTCAATGCTGCTTGCCAAGAAGAGAGGCGTGAACTTTCTCGTCTGCATCGTTAATCGGAGTGATGTCCAGGAGTCGCCGTTGTAGGGGCTAAGGTAGCTGTCCCAGTGTCGTAATCCATATTTGACCAGAGTCTGCGCGATAGACGTCCAACACTCCACAACATTAAGCAGGATCGCATCTTCAGGACAGTAGTCCTCTCCAAAGCAGTTCGATATAAGCCGGAACACGGCAGGATGAAGGACAGTTCCCACAATTTCGATTTCTGGACTAATCACTGGAGACTCATCATATGCAGCCGCAATGTCCGCCCAGTCCCCATACTCTTGGCTGTCTTCATCAACTGCCACAGGGGCACTTGCTTTTTCAGCTGCCGGAGGATCACATTTCTGAACGTAAGTGACAATCACTTGGAGCGTCTCAGAGACAGTGGTATTGACACGAGCAATCCGGGCGTTGAAGAGACCAAGGAGTGCTTTAATAGGCGCTCCCAAGATAAGCTTATGGGCGTGCTGCAATGTTGGTGCTGAGCGGATGGCAGTATTCAGGCCGCTGAGCGCGGTCTTCAGCAAGGACTCGATCTGCCGTTGGTTCTGTGCAATCGTTCTCTCAACTAACTGATCGGAGAATTTGCTACCCGCAGTGTTCTGTGATTCAACCTCGTGGCGCGCAAGCGCATGCTGCTTGAACAATTCGGAAACAAAATAACTGTGCCAGTCAGAAAAAGGTTCAAGACCAGTAACAGCTTCGTCTGTCGAGAGTTTGAAGCGGACAAGCCTAGCCCAGGAGCGAATACTGATGTTGCATGTCTCACGATGAGAGCTGGCTGGGTGGACAAGGTCCCTGATTGTCTGAAGGCGAGGCCGGCACCCGTCAGGAACAGCGTAATACAATGTACACAGGAGATCATGGTGGTTCCTCAATGCATCCAGGTCCTCCTGACGTATTGGCTTCTCTTTGGGATAAACGCGGCCATGATTTGGCAGCAGGCGCCATGCAAAGTTGCGAACTTTCTTCTGGTCATAGATCTTGGCCAGGTAACGCAGGCCACTTGCAATGATCTTCAGCAGAATGTGAAAACACGGGTCGTCTGGCTGCACTTCCAAGGAAGGTCTCTGGTCGAGTTCGTCGAGAAAAGCAGGGGACCTGTAACCTTCCTCATGCTTCAGGTTATACAGGGTATTCTTCGCGAAGAAATCGTAGAGAGTGTCAAGTATCGGTTTGCAGTCTCTCCAGCCCCAGCCATTAATGAGGTAGAAGCACCTGTGGAACAGAGTTCTACAGTACTTGTAGTATGAGATCGGCTGTGTTATAGACGTAGCATCGTAGCGATCAAGTACTGGATGGAGCAGTGTCTTGATAATGGCCCAGTTCCCATGGGCCTCCCAAAAGCGCGACCCTATCCGAGCAATGCCAGAAGAATCGAGCTCATCCAAAGGCAAGGTGGTGAACACACAGTGCCACACCCGCTCTAGCCGGCTGATATCTGTTAGGTTCACCAAGTCATTATCTTGACTCGAGTAGGCTTTCGTCAGAAGCTCCTCAAAACATCCTTTTAGTCTATCTGTACCGCGAAGGATGTGTCGGACAATAACATAGGCTTCGGCAACAAGATGGTCGCTCTGGATTCCTGCGTCACGCTTTTCAGGAGACTCGATGTTTGCTAACAGTTTGCGGATACTGCTCTGTCCCAATGGGGCTGTGACAAGTGTGATAGTTTGTTGGGCAGCCCGCGTCAACGAGTTCAACACCTCCTGGGTAAGTGCATCATCAACAAGATCATGCTCCGAAATCTGAAGAATTTGGTACGTAAATACAGAATTGTACGAGCATATCGTTGCCAAGTACCCTATCTCGCGCTCAGATTTTGGGACCAGAGTTGTCAGAGTATCATTGAGCTTGCAGACAAGGCTCAGAGCCCGTCTCACGAATCCTATCCTGTCGATGGGGTCGATGAAGGAGAGCGTGTCCGTGACATACTTGACCAAGTACTTGTATAGGCTACAATCATCCTTCTCAGCATTCTCCGGCCCTTCAGTCAGCCCGGCGTCGCTCTTCTCAATTAGTTCAATCATGCTGTCCAAGACCAAACCCAACTCCGAAGACACCGCGTCATTCCAAGAGCCCCAGCGATAGGTTCTATCCCCAGCCTTAAACGAGAGGAAACCAGCATCTCTGTCAAGATCTCGCTCAAGGAACTCCAGCGAGTGCGCAAACTTCCCACTTCCGATGAAAGTGGTTTGGTGGAAGAATATTCCAGTAGACAAGGGAAATATGTTGAAGGCCACGCTATATGAAGGCTTGAACCCATGAAGCGCATCGGATGAGCTATCTATAGGCAAGTTCCCACTCTGTAGGAAAGGTTCTGGATCCGTCGACTCCAGAATCAAAGGTTGTTGATATTGGTTGTCATTGACTGCCAGCCGCTTCGGCGGCCGCTTCTTCAATTGGCGCTGAGCTTGTGGCCGCGCCCCTGGCGGTCGGGCGTCCGGTTTATTCGTAGGCTGACTCGTACCAGTAGTCTGGGCGCCAGCAGTAGCAGGAGATGAGCTGCGGCTTGAGATGAAGCGATCTAAGACCAAGTTACTCTGGCGTGCTTTAGGTAGGCCTTTATGCCGATAGTCCCGATTGATCAAGGAGAGAGACCTCTGAAACGACAATGGTGATGCAGGCTTGCCACGAGGGTTTGCTACCTCAAGCATTGCAGGCCGCGGGTCTTGCCTTGTCAACGAAGTAATAGCCAGATTTCTTCGAACAATCCATTTGTTAGGCCGTTGCTCTGGTTGCATCAGCCTGCTAGAGTTAACAGCTGTTTTAGCTACTTGACCAGGAACGCGAGGTTCTGTACTAGTGGCGTGCTCATCGGCTGTACTGTTCGCTCTGGACGGGGGAGCTGACGAAGAATTCATCCTACGGCTCTCACTCGCTCCTTCGGTAGCTCTTATCTGAGACCTGGCTGGCCGGTTCGAAGAAAGAACAGCCAGCGGTTGTCGTCCGGCTACCTTGGTCTTGGGCCGAGACGGAGGCAATTTCGTTTGTCGAAGCCGTCCTTCTTGCCAATCGTGCAACGACTTGTTGGCGTCCTCCGTATCCACACGCGAACTGAAGTTGAAAACTTTCCGTGTAGGACTTCGTCTCCCTTTGTCCTGACGAGAGCGTGCTTCTCTTGCGGCGATCCTAAGAAAGAGCGGTTGCTCACCACGGGACCTAGAGGCAACATCTGGTGCGTCCAGGATACCAATTCTAGGCATGCTGGGCGTAGATCTCTTCTGCTTTCTAGACCCATAAGCAGGGTCTGTAAGCCTTGTTTGTCTCTTTATCCGAGGGCGTTTAGGCGCATGAGCAGAGCGTATGCTATTACCCTGCGACGTAGGTCGTTTCTTTCCTGGCTGCCGGGTCTTGGTCGAGGCGGCACGAGGTGCAGGTGGGAGCATGTAATCAATCCGATTGTCTTCCGGGATGTCTTCCCCGAATTCATTATCATCGAATGGTTCAAGTCCAAGGTTAGCTAGTAGTTGCCGGGAATTGGCCGTGTCGTCCCCGTCTTTAGCTTCATCCTCATCGCCAGAATCCGGATCAGCAAGCTGTCTCAGTGAGGAAAGCTTTGTGTCCGAGCCTGGTGCTATTGTCGTACTGTTACTTTTGGTTATTTTACGTGCAACGCCCTTTGCATTTTCCGTTCTGGAATGCATCCTTTCGCGCTGTCGTTGCGTAGCAGTTAAGCGTCCTTCTTGTTGTTTCTGGTCCAATCTCAGCCACGACGCCGGTAAGACCCCTTTGATTCGACGCTGATACAGTCTAACATCAAAATCCTCGTTCTCGCTCTCAGCTGCGCTTGCATCCTCGGCTTCAGAGTTTGACTGAATAGGATTCGCTTCCAGATGAGCTTCAACAGGTCTGCCATCCTCTTCGCCTCCAGACCAGTCCATCCCATCGTCCTCTTGAGCCGTATCTCCATGTCCCGATTTTGTGTTGGTAGTCACCGATGGTGGTGTATAGCCACGAGGGAACCGAAAAACGTTGGAAGGTGCTGTAGCGGGCGAAGAAGTAGCATTCTCCTCCGAACGGGGTGGGCTTGGGACACCGAAAATCGAAGCATTATTTTGACGCACGGGAGATGAATTCACGATTACTACACTTGGCTGTTGCAGATTTCGCGTGTGAGATCGGTGCTCGTGATGAGGCCTGGACAATTTGCGCCTTTTCGGTTGCCGGTCTAGCACGCCAGCTGGAGAGTGGCCCAATTGTGGAGAACCATGTTGTAGCGCAGGTTCCGGGGAGTTTCTAGACAACCTTTTTTCTGCAGGACGAGTCTCTATTGGTGATGAGGGTTGGAACTCAAACTCTGCTCCAAAGCTATCAGACATGGGCTCGGCGGTGTCAACGTATTCCTTGCCTTGGCTCTCATCGCCTGTAGGCCGAGCCAATCCCGGCTGAGCCACCCGTACAGGCTTGACGCCTCGTGCGCGCATCATAGTCCGATACTTGGCATCCTCCAACATGTAAGGATGCAACTGAATGGCTTTGCGTTCTCGTAATGATCTTCGCGCCGGCGGTGACATTTCCCGCAGTATTTCCTCTGGGAGATCGAGTGGAGGCAGCAAATCCTCGGGGAAGTTGTTCGTTGGTCGCTCCGGTTGTTCTGGTTGCTCCTGGCCGCCTTGGTCATCCTCGTCAAATTGAATTGAGTCCAATGACGATAGGGGGGATGAAGGAGTCGACAAGTCATTGTTCTCCTGGTCTTGCCGCGGTTGGCTGTCGAGCTTATTCTTTGAGTAGACATGAAGCGGTCTCCTTGACGGTCGGTAGTCGAATTGCAATTCGTCTTCTGAACTTGGGAAATCCCAGATACTATCGTGCTCCTTGGCTCGTGGGGTAGGTGGTGCGCTACCATTAATTGCGTTTGAGGGTTGCGCAGGGAGCTGAAAGTCGTCTTTTTCCTTTGCACGGGGGGTCTCCTCATCCTCAGCGACTCCAGGCAACAGTTCCTCATCAGCTGTTGCCGGTCTGGCATTAGCTTTTTCTGGAGAGTTCGTAGGCAGGCGAAAGTCGTCAATCTTCTTCTCGGCACGAGGAGTTTCCTCGTCTTTAGAGAGTCCATGCAACGATTCCTCGGATTTGTCGTCCTCTTCGACAGACTTTGAACGATTGCTGGATGTTTCTGGAGATTGTGTAGGCCTGTGAGAATCATCAATAGTCTCCTCAGCACGAGGTATCTCCTTGTGCTCGGAAATCGCAGACAATTCTTCCACGGCTTTGTTACTCCCATCATGCTGATCTGTTGGCCCGGAGGCACTATTTAGATTCTCTGAAAGAGTCACAGGACGGTCATATTCGACATATTCGACATTGCTGTCCTGAGGGGCATTTGCCTGCACCTCATGTTGAATTTCATCCCGTCGATCCAGGACAGTAGTTTCCTCCACAACAACTGCAACTGCACCACCGATATCCGCGACCGCATCTCCAACAGCATCGTTCAAGTCTCCTGTCTCCTGGCTGTCGAGTCCGTCCTCCGAGTCCGAGTCCGGTACGAACCCTCGCGCCCGCCATGATTCCATTTGTATCCTAGGCGCGGATGGCCCATCTCCCTAGATATTCATCACCTCGTAACGGCGGCAGGGCCCGAAATACTGCGCACGATAATCTATGGGAACGGAGGCGGATGAAAAATTGTACAAGAATCTGACCAGTCAGTCGGGGGTCGTGCCAGGGGCGTCCAGATCCACCAGGATTGGTACGTAGTGAAAGTTGAGCGGGTTAATTGACGCAGTTGGTTGCTGGTCGATGCGACGCGTCGAAAATGTGGGGAGGACGCGATGGGGCTTAAACGGCGGATAGCCTGGCGCAATTTTGGCGATTGCCCGGCGGGCGGTCCGGCCGGAGCTTGGCCCGGCGAGCTCTTTCAATTAACGCTACGGCATCATTGCTAGCTCAATCTCCCACATTGAAACTTCTCCAGCAGCCACTGGATAGTCTGCATCATGAGTCGCAATTGGATTCCGGCCCTTATGGCCATTGGCATGGGTGTCTGGACTGGTAAGTATTGGGGATTTCCACACTCGCTCATTCATATGAGCATGTGATTGCCATCAGCTTGCTAATTGTTACGTTTTCCGGGTCTGCAGGATACTATACCTTCCAGCCTGCGTTGCGAGAATTGCAGTCGGAGAAGACGGGTTCTCAGTAAGGCCCACCTACCAAGTCATCTCGTTTGCATGCCATGCCCTGCTGACTGGAATGCTTCACCGATAGGATTCCGCCGTCGCAAGACCAAAAGATCGCTCCCACTCCCACGCCCAGTTCAGACAAGGATTCGAACAAGCCGGTGACCCAACCCAGCGAAGCGAAGGCCCCCGAGGCTCAAAAAAGCTAGTTTACAACTGAACAAGTCGCTTGAAATGCATACATTGAGACGCCGCTGGTCGGTGATATATAGCCAGAATAATGACCGCATTGATCCTTTTGCGAGTTCATGACTGTATGGAATAGAGGATAAAGTCATAAATGGAGCCTGCACTGACTTCTCAGTAAGTGTTAGCAATGACTGGGACATTTTGTCTTGCGTAGGCTACCGAAAACATGGACTGCAGTGGGATCAAGAACGCAGGCAGATTATGTGCAGCTCAAGTATAGTACGGGCTTCCACCATTGTCCATGTGACTTAAAGCTCACGGTCATCTATAGCCAATATCTGAAATAGCCATTTGAAGAGAAAATAAACGTCCGGTATCTCTACGCAAAAACCCAGAATAACTAATTGAACACAGTTACATAAATGATCCACTCTGTAAATGTACATCCTTGACCTAAGTATTATAGAAGCCTATACCCTCCCTAAGTAGAAACCTATTTCAAACGCCCAGCTCCAGATGCGCCCATCTTCCCATGCCTGTTACACCTCTTGCACGAGCTTGCCCGAGCCATTGCCACCAAATACACGTCCTGCAGGTATATCGAGCCATTCCTCCGGCACGCCTACTCGACTGCCTTCGCGGCCACTTACCCACCTCACCATTGTCGGATCGGGTTTCTCGGGTTCCGCGACCTCCTGGTCCGCAGAAGCTGCTTCGGCTGTCTCCGCAGCTGGAATACGTCCTCGGCGCTTGGGTGCCTGCTTCCGTAGAAGCCTGTTGATGGTATCCATCTGTGATTCTCATATCAGCATCGACTTTGAGTACAGAAACTCCCACCCCGCTGCACTTTGTGGAACCCTAGATGGTACGTACCTTCTCCTCCTCATTCCGCTTCTCGCTGAGGTTCTTTCTACGACGAGCCATTTCGGCACGACGCATGGCGCGCTCCTCAGCCGTCAGGTGCTTCTTCACCTGGGGTTCTGCTCTCAGTCAGATTCACGATGCTTCCAATGATCATGCGGGACGTAAAGACTCACCCATGGGAAGTTGCAGGAAGTCGTTACCCAGATTACCCCTTTGCCGTTTGGTCATCTTGCTCAGGTCGGCGGTCGGGGTATCGTCATCGCTGTCCAGATCGTCCTCTTCTTCCTCCTCTTCCCCTTCTAGATCCTCGGCACCACCATTGGCCATCATACTTTCGTCCTGGTCGTCTGGCTCGCCTTCAGCGTCTGACTCCAGTTCCGAAAGCTCCTCATCGTCGTCGTCCTCGTCGTCATCGTCCAGCTCCATCTCTTTAGCCTCTACACTTTTGACGGCCTTCCCGCTCGGCGCTGCTGCTGCTGCTGCTTTCGCCTGTCGTTTGGACACTGGCGGCTGGGGCGGCGCATCATCCATATCTAAATCGCCATCGGCATCTACATCATCGTCGTCTTCACCTGGCGCATCTTCATCATCGTCCACCTCATCTTCTTCCTGGTCTTCCAGGTCGTCTTCATCGCTTGTATCCACTTCAACAAGCTTCTTCTTGGGTCTGCTGGTACGGGGACCCGTCACAATGGGATTCTCCGTGAAGACATTGACCGAACGTCTGGTCGATGCACCACTTCGGGTGCTACCACTGGTAACTTCACGAAGTTTACTGGACGGCATCTTTACTGTCAAATGGATTGACTTGTGAGTAGAAGTCCCGTGTAGGTCAGATGCACCGCGTGAAATCGTCACCGCTGGGGTGGAGATGGCAGCCCGGGCGGCAGCTCTCGTGGATCTGGTGTTCATGTTAGCATCCATGCTCGGCTGGTCATCCCGCCCCAAGCGGGAACGTAGTGAGCGACGCAAAAGCATTGTGGCTGCTAGTGAAATCCCCGCAAAACTCCCAATGACAGAGAACGCAAAGTGCAAAACTGAGATGCAATCCCAGCCGCACAAATCTGAGGATAGAGCAAGCAGGGATGAAAGCAGGCTCAAATAAGATGAACTGTGCGACAGGCTAACAAAGGGGAATGGCAGATAGAGAGGTAGAGCAAGATGGAACAAAGGTAGTTGGAAACAGATGAAGACTGGGTAGCAGGGGTAGTGTTATGGGGGAAGCCAGATAATGTGTTTGGAAGTAAACTCAAACAGAGTAACAGTGATGAGGGGGATTATCTGGCGCTTTTTCCCTGGATGTCCCGGTGGATGGACAAATGGTGGGATTGCGGAGGCAGGGAAGAGGGGGAAGGGTGAGGAGGGGAGTGAATGAGCGCATCTGGAGGTCAAGAGAGATGGGATCCTCGCGATGGGCAGAAGCAGCGCCAGATTACCATCATCCACCGCTAAGAATGACTACGTGGGCCAGTGTTCAGGATGAGCCATGCACTCCGGGAAGGCACAGGACATCCACCCCTATCACATCTCTGACGGACGCCACTTGGACATCTCCCCGCGACATGGACCATGATGACGGAGCCAATGGGAGCATTTTGAATGCAGATGTTCAGGGCCGATGGGTTTTAGGTCCAAGAAAAAAGGCGCGGTCAATCCAACGGCGGTGCGGTATCTGGCGCAACCCGGACGCGGACTTAGGGATTATTCCCTGGAACTGACCCAGCAGGGGTTTCCCGATGGTTGCGCGGGCAGAAATAGATGAGGCCTCGGGGATGGATAATTAATGTAAATAAACGGGGAAGGGGGGGGAAAGAGAGGGGGGGTGTAATCCTCTGTTTTCTGATGTTTCGCAGATGTTGAACAAATGTATAGAGACCCGGCCAGAAGAGACCAGAACAGACCAGATGAGACGTGACAGGGAGACAAGGGCAAAGCAGCGAGGGTGTGTGTCAAAGGCAACTAATACGAGGACGACTCACCGAGAGGTGATGGGATGCTTTCTCTAGTAGAAAGTAAGTGGTCGTCAATGCAACCCCAAGTGAGACCTGGGCTTGGACAACAGTAGCCGATGTTCTGAGTGGACTGGCAGGCAGAGAAGTACACGTATGTGTCGGTACCTGATCGAGCGACCCAAACCCAGAGCAAAGCAGAGAATGAACCGGTTTGATGGAAATGCTTCCTTTTCAGCAGGAAGAATCATCCTTGAAGATCCGCGGACTTTCGCCTCTTCCTTCAATTGGCCGCTTCGGCGGTTCTGCCAGGCGGTCGGTAATCCTTGGCCGCCTTTTCCCTATCGTCTTGGTTTGTCCACCACCGCAACATTTATGCTTATATGCCATAGTACTATATGATAACTTCATTTGAAATAAACTATTTGAGTATATTCTGTGGTATCTAAATTTATCTCTTTCACTTTTAGTTGGTAAATACTAGAGTCTTCTTGTAAATTCCCATGCTGTCAATCCCCATACTAGTAACTATCTTCATAGTAGATCGGATAATATATTTTAGGTGGAGATACTACTTTCTACTATCTACTATCTACCAGTAGCTCCAAAGAGTGATACCAACAAGTATAGGTTGCTAGTAAGCAGCCACATTCATTTCCGTCGCAGTTTAATGGTATCTCTACCTGTCAGAACATCCCCTAGTGTGTTGCCCAGTAATCATAGAGTTCAAGTTTCACCAGAATTAGCCTTTGTGGCCCAAACCGCATCCAAACTTACTACATCTCCCCCAAGAAGTAACCTGTCGTACAGCCCGTACCGCCCCCATACAATACCACCAATACAGCCGAGGTCGGGGCAACCCAGTGTCTCTCCTCACTTTATCTTCCCTCACATGGTTACTATCCATTGCTATCTCCTCACTCAACTTACCTCTTCCACTCTCCTATTCCTGCTTTTCTCAATTACACCTCCTCAGACAAACCATGGCGGACTCTAAGCCCAAGCCATCCTCAATCCCTTCATGGCAGCAGCCCAACAGCGCCTCCAACCCCAACACTGACAACTCCGAGTCTACCTCATCGCCGACCTCCGACGACACCTCCCGGTCAGCTCTCATCGAACAAGCAGCCAAATTCCTCGAGGACGAGTCCATTCGCGACGCTCCCACCGATCGCAAAGTGACATTCTTGCAATCCAAGGGTCTCCGAGAGGACGAGATCAACACCCTCCTAGACATATCAACCACCCCCAAGGCGAGCGATACAACCGAGGAAGAAGAGAAGACCGCTTCCCCGGACACCACTCCTCCCAGCAGCACCGAACCAGCACCAGCACCAGAACAAACAGACAATGCCTCAGCATCATCAACCACCCAACCCACGCCATCATCCTCAATCACCACACCCACCCCATCACCAACATCCCCCAAAACCACCACCACCCGCGACATCCCCCCCATAATCACCTACCCAGAATTCCTCTCCACGCCCACCAAACCACCCCCACTCGTAACCCTGCGCAGCGTGCTCTACACCCTCTACGGCGCCGCCGGCCTCAGCGCCAGCTTCTACGGCGCCAGCGAATACCTGATAAAGCCGATGCTCTCGAACCTAACAAGCGCTCGACAAGAGCTCGCCTCCACAGCAACAAGCAACCTCCAAAAGCTAAACGAGAAGCTGGAGCAAAACGTCTCCGTAATCCCAGAAAGCCTTAAGAACAAAACCGCAAACACCGAAAACGACTCATCCTCCACCGACACCGAGTCCATCACCTCCGACCCAACGGAGCTCTTCCACCGCGACGTCGCCACCCAAACAGCTACCTCAGACTTCGCCGCAACCTACAACAACAACAACAAGACAGGCACCGACAAGGACTCACCAGAAGACCCCACCGCAGCAGTAACCGACCACCTCAAGCGTCTTGAGAGTATCCGGTCCCAGCTCCGCGAATGCTCCGATACAGAGAAGGAATCCAGCACGCTGGACAGTGGGATGCGCACGCGCTTGAATGAACTGCATCATTACCTGGATGGGTTGATCTATAGTAAGCCTGGGTTTAACCCGCTCTCTGGGTACGGGATGTATAGCACGCCTGGGATGGATTCGGGGAGTGGAGCAGCAACGGGAGTGGGCAAGGGCGAGGAGGATGCGATTGCGAACTTCAGGGCGGAGATTAGAGGTGTGAAGGGGGCGTTGTTGAGCGCGAGGAATTTCCCTGCGGGTCGTGGGGGCAGGATTGGGGGTGTGGCAGGGAGGTAAAGATAGAGATACCAGTGTTGGGTTCTTAGTAGGGGTATCTGATATATAATCGTGGATGGATGGCTGGATAGATAAATGCTGTATATATTATAGTAACGTATGTCAATGTTTCCCTGCAGATATTACGTATCATACTTGCACTGTAAACGTGGTTCTATAGTACCAGACACACATACCTACTAATAACGTAGTATTCCTCGTACAGGGTTAATGCATATGAATGAAACCTAATGGTATGATCCTACAGCTTTTCAATACTACCAACAATAGAATAAACATAGTAATAACATTGACATCTGAAGGAACAATTCGCAAATAGCCCAACCAAGGCAAAACGGGACCGGACAATGAGCAGTACAGTGAAGCATAATAAAAGAGGACTCGTCTTTCCTTTACATACAACTCATAATCGTTCTTTTTTTACTTCCTTTTCCTGTCATAGCCTCTTAAACTGAAACTTGACTCGAATTTACGGGGTGGCCCGGCTCATGCTGATGAGACGCTTGACACCAACCTGTTGGTAGCTTATTAGTATGGATATAGTTCAGTAAGAGGGTAGAAATACTCACCATCCAGTTGCCGCACTCGTCCAGTCGGTTAGTCATGATGTCGACGTGGATAGTCCGGGCGGTCTCGTAGTCGCGCGCCTGGATGGCGCGAGCCAGCTCCGCCATGTCCGCAATGGTGTTGGGCTTGAGCAAGTCCTCGTTGTTGAGGTGGTCGAACAGGATGTTCAACCGCCGTTCGGCATCATCAACCTGCGCCTTGAAGGAAGACGGGGCCCGAGACTTCACGCGCTGCATGTCTGCGGAGAGGATCTCGTAGACAGGCATGGCGTCGGCCGGGATATGGGAACGGTCACCGGGGGCTATGGAAAGTCAGAAACAGAGGCCACCAAAAGAGAGGTATGGAATCACTTACGGTACTTAGGCGGGGCAGGTGCGGGCTTCTTCTGCGAGGAAGCCGTGCTTGGCCGGGATCCCGGGGCGGCCTGAGGCGGAGGGGCTTGTTGCGGCGGGGGCTGCACGTGTGGCGGAGGAGTGCTCGGGACATAGTGGCCCGCGGCCGGAGGTTGAGGGGCATACGGAGAAGCAGCTGCCTGCGGGGGCGGAGGGACAGGTGCCCGAGTCTGCAGTTGCGGGCTGGCAGCCTGTGCGGCTGGGCTAGGAGCATACCGGTTGGGGGGAGGAGGCATGGTAGGCGGCGCGTTGTATGGAGAGGGTCCGCGAGGAATGGATGCTGGGACTCCCATAGTGGACGCCATGGGAGGAGACTGGGGCAAGGAAGCGTAAGGGTTGGCCGGCGGAGGGGGCATCGTACTCGAAGCCGGCTGCACGGCAGGTGGCGAGGTCATCCGTGGGGGAGGAGCAGTGCCCTTTGGCGGAGGGGGAACTGAGGGTGCTCGCTGACCAGCCGGTGGCGGAGGTCCCTGTGTGAGAGTGGGGGACTGGTTGGGGAAGGGAGACGCAACCGTCGCAGCGGCAGGGGTGGACCTGCGAGGTGTGGGAGCTTTGGCAAAACCTTCTGGCAGATCGTTCCATGCGGGCAGATTCGTGGCAGTGGTGTAGGTGGTGACGGTAGGGGCAGGAGATTGGTTGGATGCACGCGGAGGCGGAGGTACACCACCGCCTAGGGGCTGAGCACCGTAAGCAGGTGCCTTGGGCGGCTGGTATCCTGCAGGGGTGTAGCTGCTACCGCCAGCTGGGGGCGCATATGGGTTGACAGGCGGCGCCGGCGCGGAAGCAGTAGGCGGAGCATAAGGGTTGGCAGCAGCAGCAGTTGGGGGAGCATAGGCGTTGGCAGCGGCAGTCGGAGGAGCGTAGGGGTTGACAGCCGCTGCAGCTGGAGCGTAGGGGCTGGGAGCAGCAGCTGGCGCAGCCGGTGAGTAAGCTCTCTGAGGCTGGAATGCGTTAGGCTGGGGGAGAGGCTTGTTGAGGGCGGCCCTCGTCACAGTAGCGGCGGCGGGCTGCGTTCTCTGAGGGGTTGCCTGTCTCGTAGCCAACTTGATACGGTTTCGTGCAATCTCAGCCTCGGGGTGCTTCTCCGGCACGAGGTCGAGATACTTCTGCGCAACCTGCAGGCGTCCGTGTGTAGCAACAACGTCGGCATACTCGATGTACTTGTCGTACAGCGTGCTGAGCTTCCAGTCCGACTCCTTGGTGCGTTCGGTGTCCTCGAACTTGGTGACCTGGCGGAAGATGGTCACCTTCTCGATGAGCCCCTGCAAAGCACGGACGTGAATCGAGAAAGCAGAGTCATCAGCGGCGGTCTCGATAGCCTTCTGCTCGTTCTCACGCAGCTCCTCAATCCATATTGCAACGACCTTCTCTAGCTTGGAACCGGCCAAGAAACAGAAGGAAGCATCCTTGCGCATACCCTTGTCCTCGTTGTTGCGGAGTTCTTCCTCCAGTCGGTCACCCAGAGCCTCGCAAAGGTCAGCGAAATCCTTCTCGTCAGCGAAGGTGCAGAGAGCCGCCATGACCTCCTTCCAGTTAGACAGGTCAGCGTTGTAAACCACGTCCCAGAGGTTCTTGCCGACAATAGAAGCCAGCAGGCGAACGTAGTTGGGGCTGTTGGTCTGCTTCTGGAAGTAGTGCTCCTGGGCCTTCTCAATGCACTTGGGACCGCCGCAGATGGCGATCATGAAGGCATCAGAGAGGCGATCTTCCTTGAGAGCAACGTCAAGAGCCTTCTCAAAGTCACCAAGGAGCAACGCACGGGTAATGCCCGTGTCGGCTTCATTCTCCGAACCGTTGAAGATATGAAAGGGATTGTTGGTCTTGGCTCCCTTGGAGGCAGCCAAGTCGGACAAGAAACTGTCTGCTTCGGGATTGGCATCAAACATCGACTGCAGGCGCCTGTGCTTCTTGGCTCCCGACCCGCGGGATTCCTTCGTTGCCTCCCCATTGACTTCCTCTTCCTTATCCAGACCGAGCTTAGACAGGCTATCCGCAGCCTCGTCTGCTTGGTCAGCGAAGCCAAGGTATTCTACCAGTCCCTTGCGAGGGTCCTTAGAGATCAGGGCTTCAATGACCTTCCAGTCAGCCTTCTCCTCATCGGAGCCAGCGTTAGCCGCTCTGCTTTCGCAGATGCTGCGCAGATCACCTTCCTTGAGAGCGGTCTCGAAGGTCTCAGTCGACTTCCCAACAGCTTCATCAACCTCAAACGGAGTGATCTTAATCTTGGATGCACGCTGTCCCTTCTCAACCAGGTTGACCGAGACGACCCTGCCACCAAAGCCGAAGGTGGCGCTGCAGGGCCTCTCGAGCCACTTGGGAGGCTTCGGCAACGAGAAGCTCGAGACCTGAGGTTGAGTCTGTGCCTTGGCAAAGAAGTCCTCGCCATCCAGAGCCTGATTCTGATCGGCGATGGCCTGTGCGGTTTCGGTGCTAGTGTTCTGAATGGTCTGGATGGAGATCTTTCCATCGAACGATGCGGTAGCGAAGAAGTTGGGGTTGTGCGGGTTCCAGCGGGTCTGGAAGGTCCAGTTGGTGACGACGGGGAATTCGCCATATGCGTGGCCGGTTTGCGGGTTCCAGCACATCGTACGGTTATCTTTTCCGGAGGAGAGGAGCAGATCGGGGTCCTGGGCACACCAGGAGAGCGACAACACACCGGACTCATGGCCGCGGAGAGTCCTCTCTGGAGCGTGCGAGTTACGGAGATCCCAGACACAGATCAGAGGATCGGACTCGAGAGGGGTCGCAGTGACAAGTTTCGTAGGCTGCGCTGCGTTAGCGAAAATTAGGAAACATAAGGGGTGTTCCTGAACGCCTCACCTTCTCCGGGTCCCAGGCCACAGCACTAACTGCCTTTCGGCCCATGTTGTTGAGAGTCAAGCTCTCCTTCTTTGTCTTGACATCCCACACAGTAACAAAGCCTGCACTGCTACCAGTGACCAGGATGTGTGCAACCTTCTTGTTCCAGTCCAAGCATTCGATGTCGTCCGCGCGGGCCGCCGTGCCTCCGAGTCGGTATGGGTTCGCGACATTGTTCAGGTCGGAAATGTAGAGCTGTCCAATCATAAGCCTCACTGTCTAGACACCTCTCCATCATGTAGCCTACCTCGCCCTTTGCACCACCGGTTGCCAGCAAGTTCGAGTGTTTGGGGTTGAACTGGAGAGCCTTGATAGCCCCTGAGTGTTTGGAAGTTCTCGAGATCACAGCATCACTTTTGAACCGTCAGCCAATTGTACAGTCCCAACATAGAGCACACCCGCCAACTCACTCGGAACCATTAAGCAGCTTATCGGCATCCCACAAATCCAACGAGCCGTTCTCCAGAGCACCGGCTATCACACCCCGCGAGTTGTCTTCGGATTCCGTCCACGCTAGGTCATTGAAGCTATCGGAGCGATATAGTCAGCACGTCGGCTTCCCTTACACGGCAAATTGCAGGGTAGACGCAAGGATTATTTACCCGGAGTCCGTATCAATCTTAGCTACCGGCTGTAGCTCTCCGCCGGTCTCATGACGGCTGAGTGCCAGATCCCAGAGCTCCAGACATGTCTGATTGGAGAAGTCGACGTCAACAGCACCGGCCCGAGTACCGGTAGCGATCAGAGGCGACGCAGCCCCGGGGGACCAGGCGAAAGTGGCCGTCCGGGGAATTTCCCTCAGACGCACCATGGTGAGATGTAAAGGAGCGGCGGGAAAAGGAAAGGGTATAGATTAGGAGAGTTAGGACCAGACACGGATTAGGAGGGTCTGGCACTAAAGGTCATAGACGAGAAGCAACACCAGGAGCGGGAGAACCAGAAAAACGAGCAGAGAAACAACCTAAGAAAGAAACCTCCCCTCTCTATAGAAGAACCGAGGGGTGCATGTACGGTGAGTTGCCAAGTATGCGATCGAGGGCGTCACTGCAATCAACCAAGTGTCCTCCTGGAGGGCGCTCGGGGGGGCTGATGGCCCCTAAACCGCTTTGGGCCCTCGCCAAAACACCCGCCCCGGGGGCACCACGTGATATCAGGTTGCTCCGTCCCAAAGTCTAGAGCTTTGCCTAGGCATTAAGTGAAAAGGCCCCGACGCGGTCGCTCTTTCTCTCCCCCTCCTTTCAGTGACGAATTCCATCCTAGCCCATTTGGGAAGCTTGCTACGACCGACCATGAGCGAGAAAGCACGTCTAAAATGTACCGTCTACGTGGGGGGTCTTGACCAGGCCGTGACGATGCAGACGCTGGCCGAGGCATTCGTTCCCTTTGGTGAAGTGGTTGATATTACGCTCCCCAAACCCGATCTCCCGAACTCCAACGAGCTCCACCGCGGGTTTGGATATGTGGAGTTTGATCTGCCCGAAGATGCGAAAGAGGCGATCGACAACATGGATGGAAGCGAACTATATGGCCGGACAATCAAGGTTGCTGCTGCTAAGCCGCAGAAGGACAGCAACGAAGGACTCGGCAGCAAGACGGCTATCTGGGAACAGGTACGCTGTGACGTTCACCTTGTCATTACAGATCATTTGCTAATTACGTATGAAACAATAGGAGGGGTACTTGGCCAAATATGCCGTCGATGAGGAAGACAAATTGGCTGCCGAGGGAGGCGAGACCGACGGAGCCGAACGTCAAGATCCCATGCAAGGACTCGAGGAACTGGACGTGGCCGGACCCAAGCCGGAATGAGCTCTACGATAATCCACTCACGCCAGGGGCAACTGGCGAAACGAAGAAAAAGAGAAGCCAAGAAGCGGGCGACAGTAATATTGCGATATTACACCATCAGGAACCCTTCGTTTAAAGCCGTACTATTTACACGCGCTCCAACCCTGAGCCTGAGAATTTTCGAGCATTCCATTCTTAACTCTGGCCGCGCGACAAGGCCCGACTACCCCGTGAATGATACAGATCGCCGAAAAATCAAACAAAGAATCGCCCATTGCAATTTGAAATCAAATGTGATGGTACATTCTTAGTGCTCGCGGTCCTCGGGGCTGTTGCGGTACAGACGGAGGGTCTTGTCGGTCATGAGCTTGCGGGTGCTGGAGTAGATGGCAGCACCGACGGCGACACTGCGATGGAACTGGGTCAGTGGAGGGCAGATGAAGACTGCGGAGTGGGAGAGGAAGGGAGGTGGGAGGCGGTCGGGATTAGACTTCACGGCATGTCATGTAGAAGCCATAGGATATCAGGAAATAAACATACCCAAGGACCAGACCTGTAGGATTCAAGAAACAATCGTTAGCGCTGCTGTAAACCAATGGCAAGGTGTTAATCATTCAGACCGCGACGTACCGAGAGGGATCAACTCCGGGGGGACTCTCTTCAGAGTGCGCAGACGCTGAGAGATAGTGTGGGCTAGAAGCCAGGCGTTAGTCCAATTCCCACCCCCAACAACACAATTCCATCATTCAAGTATCGGTCCTATGCGCAAACCGGGGAGGGAACCCCATACCGCTGTGGTTTTCCTTCTGTAGCCACTTGTTAGCCACCCTGCCAAACGTAATTTTTCCCCAACATCCACGCCAACACGGGGGACCGAGGGCCAACTCACAGGAGCAGGAAAAGCGAAAGGCCGGGAGGCCTGCATGCGCAGAACACGAGTAGGGAACATGGCGAATGGGCTTTAAGCAACCGAGGTGGTTGAGGTTGAGTATCAGAACGACTTAAGTGGTGGGATGGCAAGATCGGGAAGTGGTGACGGAAGTCTGAGCTTGATGGAAGGGGAGGTTGCACCACTTAGGTAAGGCGGTAGGAAGTCACGGTGGTGGTTCGGGTGTTTAGGAAACCTGGGCGCATGAGTGGCTCGCTAGTAACCTCTAGTTTGGCGCCTGAGGCGGTCAAACGTGAACTTCCGGCTTCACGGCTTCACGGGTCATTCCACTCCACCGGCCGCAGAACCTCCTCTCTTTCTCGGTTTCTCCAGACCTCCTCCCCTCCTCCCTCCGCTCATCCCACCCCCCTCCAATCAACACCCCAAGTTTCCTATTTAAGGTTACTACACCTTCAATCTATCACAATGGGTGCCATTCCTGAAGTTGACCCCGATGAGCCCGTCGAGACCAAGCCCTTCAAGTTCGTGACTGGTGAGCTTTCCCTCTCCCAACCCTCCAATGGGTCCAATTCGTCCCGTAACTAAGGTCAATTGCTAATCATTTCACAGCTGGTACGTCTAGGATAGGTTTTCGAGCATTCGCGGCGCCGTCGCTGTCGTCGCGATCGAGGTAGTTTTGTGGGCTGACATATGAGGTGATGAATAGGCTATGACGCTCGTTTCCCCCAGCAGAACCAGTACGTGATTTTCGCACACCTCTCCGCTCAATCTGCCCCAATACGAACTGCAATAACTAACCACACATCTTTTCTCTACACTCACAGGACCAAGCACTGCTGGCAGAACTACGTCGACTACCACAAGTGTGTCACCGCCAAGGGCGAGGACTTCCGCCCATGCCGCCAGGTTAGCTAGCTACTGCTTCCCCATTCCACACCCAAACGAATCCAATCCTAACCACCATTGAACCGAAAACAGTTCTACCACGCCTTCCGCTCTCTCTGCCCCAAGGCCTGGACTGACAGATGGGACGGCCAGCGCGGTATGTAGTCCCATTATATGACCCTATATCTTTCATATCAAACAGCAGCATACTAACGAAGAAACTTACAGAGGCTGGTAACTTCCCCGCTCGTCTCGACCGGTAGACGCAGTTAACTACTTTGTTCAACGTTAATTGAAAGTTCAAAGTTGTTTTTCGTGTGTCTTGTCAACATGTACTCTACCCTATAAGTTGGATCCAGCGAGAATTGTTAGCTCTGAGACCCTCCCCAGACTCAATTCGGCTGGGTTGGAAGACGAGTGTATATAGACTCGCGTAGTTGGAATGATGTGTCAAACAAACCGCGCCCATAAAGCTCAGCATAAGCTCGTAGCCAATAATTTTCTTATGAATCTGTCCTGTTCCACCTATTATCCTGATATTGATATCAAATACTAGGCAGCCAGATAAATGTACATGTCACTCACCTCAACAATACCTAAAAAGCTTGAAAAGTATTGAATGATAACTACTCTGCTTACCACCAACAACACCGTCGTAAGATCATACGATATCCGATCAACCAACCAATCACCAACCCCAAAAACAAATCTTTCACAACAAATACCAAGTAACTGATGTCTGATTATCCCAGTTATGCATCTGCTTACATCACTATGTACATTGCGAAGCAACTACTAATTACTATGAAGACAACCTCACTGCTGTTCACTGCTAGTTATACAACCAATACAACGAACAATGATGATATAGTCAAAATACTACGTACTACTAGTACGGTGGCAGTGTACATTTTTAAAAGGGGATAAGCCACAATCGTGTCAACAGTTGGACTTGAGGGAAGAGGATGCAATACTGTAAGTATATGAGTCTGAAGGATATGGCATTTCATTCTGATCTAATCTAAACTGCAAAGAATACATGTTGTATGAACTGTAGGTTATAGCAAAAAGCACTTTCTCACCGAGACATAGTATAGAATTATGAACGTTAGTTGGTGATAGATGGCTTTCAGAACCTGATGTCAATCACAATGGCTGGAGGTCTCATGTTCCAGGACGTCTAAGTCTTGTTTATCAAATGTCGCAAGAGGAGACATATATGCCTCCGAGGTACGTGCTGTCCCATATTAGTTAGTTTCAGAAAAATGGACAGATACAGATAGAGAGAGAGAGGTGAGATGTAGGCGAAGCGTTGAGAAGAAACTGGAGGACAGAAGTCACTTTAGCCAGCCTGCTCGAAGTGACAATGGAGAAGTCAAATGTAAAAGATCAGAGAGAAGAAAAGAAATGAGAGACAACAGTAAAGGTAAAGGAAATGTAATCTATAAGATATATACAAGGGTATGAACACAAAATAAATGCGCAAGACTTTTGTCCTCCCGGTAATGCTTCGCCAATGAGAGATCAAGAAAGAAAAGTTTATAACAAAGTAAAAAGCAAAAGACCATCTATCCCAAGAAAACACAGCATATGGACGGATATCGCAGATATGTGCCTGGAAAAAAAGAGAAAAGACAAATCAGAATGAAGCAAATCTATACGTCAAACCTGTTCAGGGAATTCAAAGCCCCTTCAACAAGCGATAGAGCTTCTTGTGCTCTTCAAGGAAGATGAATGTGGCAATGGTGTGAGGACCGAGACGAATGAAGCTCGGCACCCAACCACGGAAAGCCCATGCGAGGCCCTCCTTTCTAGTGATATCACGGAGCAGTCCAACGATGCTCTGACTGCGGCCTTCAGCCGGAGAAGCGCTCATGACACGAGTCTTGATCACATCGACAGGGCTGCAGACAGTGGTAGCCACAAATCCAGCCATGAAGGAGGCAGTGAAATGCGTTCCCATGTTATCAGACATGCCGAGCTTCTCGAGACACAAGCGCTTGAAGGTATCGTACGAGGCCAATTGCGACGTTGTCATGAGAACAGCACGGGTCGAGTTCGGCCACACACCGCGGAACAAGCTGGCGGGACCTTCGGTGCGCGTCATCGTCACCAATCCGTGAATCGCATTGCGGTAGTTACGGCGTTGAGCGGGAGGGAGAGCAGCGTCGGATTGCATGCGCACGTTCAGAACGTCGGCGGGGTTACCAGCCATGCCACCGATGAAGCCGGAGGCAGAGGCCATACCGATCAGGGTGAAGAGGCCAGGAGGCGAGTCGGGGGAGGTAAAGTGGTTTTTGAGTTCCTCGTAGATACCGAATCGTGTGGTGGAGTAGGTCAGTTGGCGCAGAATGGCGGCGGACAACTACAAGAAGTGACATTAGCATCATGTAGTACAATCGCTATGATCTGAAGGGTTGGTGGATACTACATACCCCGCTGTAAAGACCGAAGAATCCGTCATTCTTGAACACATGCACGAATGTGCCGACCATAGTCGAGGGGGCGCCAGGCCCGCGGGTCTGCAGGCGGACCTATAAATTTTTAAAACGCACATCGATCAGCGTTCCGGTGAGACAACGAAGTATAGAAATAAGCACGCGAAGGGGGATAAATCAAGAGTTCCTATAAGAAGTCCAGGAGGCATAAATTACCTTCACTATAGACGAAGATTAGCTTCAATTCCAGCACATACTTTTTTTTCTGGTGTTGGCTAAATTAGAGCTTACCGAGATCCAGAGGGTGAGTAACGGCAGCCGCAAAGCATGATGCTGAACCACCGAACCAGAAAGGATAATGAACTTTTTTTGCAGGGGCTGGAGCATTCGCCGCCTTGGGAGGATGCGACGCCTCCAACTTCGCGCCGCTGGCCATGGTAGACATTTCAGCGGAGGGAAGAGTAATCCCGGGGAGGGAGACAGAGAGAGGAGAGGGGGGGGAAGTGGAGAGGGGGGGGGAGGAGGGGAGATTTCGTAGTTTGAACGAGAGATGGAATGAAGGCAACGATGATAATAAAGTCGAGTCTGACGCAGTAAAGTGAGTAATACGCTGGTAAGAAATCGGCGGCGCCGGCCATAGATCAAGTCTCCGAAACCCTGCTTTTCGGCTGCACTAACCGGTCTGGGACCGCGCTGGCCAATCAACGTCTCGGTATCCGGCGGCTAGACGGAGGCCGAGCGGTAATCCTCGGTAATGCGCGTATTTCAAGTAGCCTTTCTCTGTGTCCTTCGATACCCGCGGGGCGCCTCTAATGAGATAGCCTCGCTTGGGGTAACTCTGCTGATGCACTCGGTGCTTAAATTACCTCCGAAGACCGGGGAATAAGCAGCATACTATGCCATAGCTGTTTAGCAGCTTCTCAGCTGGTCTCGACAGTCCTACTCTACTACAAGGTATAGGCCCTGCTTGGATCGCCACTACGTCACGCTGCATACGTCCCATGCCGTAGACTAGATTAAGGTACATGAAAGCAGCCGCGGCTAGATCTTCCCTAGCCCAACGTCCGGTTAGTTAAAGTTGGAGGATAGGTGATTTCAGCTGAACATGGTAATACACAGTTGTTGTACATATAGACTCGACTCGCCAACTGTAATTTGGCATTTAGTACATCGCGAGCATTTAGAATAATACTCGCTGCCATCAGCGGAGCTCGACTCCCAGCAAGCCCACAAGCTTTTGGCGGACCTTCTCATGTAGGTCATTTGTTTCTTCATTCGTCAAGGTGCGCTCCAGACTCCGGTAATTGATACGGTAGCACATGCTCTTCCGGTGTGTCTTGGGGTGGGTAAATTCGTCAATCAGCTGGACGTCTTCCACCAGATCTCCTGCCTCGCCGCGGACGATCTCCATGATGTCGTTCTCGTGCACGGGCGCAGCTCCGCCCGCCGCACTGCCACCGCTGACAGACGCAGAGGGCAGCCAGAAGGCGACATCCTTGTAACAGGCGGGGTGCTTGGAAAATGGTTCGAAGCGAGTGATCTCACCCGCGCGGAACTGGGAAAGGAATCGCTCGTCACGCGACCAGAACAGGCGGATATCCGGGATGTTGAACAGAAGCATAGCAATACGCTCCAAACCGATACCGAAGGCCCATCCGACACGGTTGGGCACATCCGAGTTGTTCAGCAGCTCCTGTTTGATAACACCACAACCAAGGACCTCGAGCCAGTCACCCTGCCAGAATACCTCCAACTCCCAGGACGGGCTGGTAAATGGGAAGTATGCCTCCACCCAGCGGACCTTCAGGGGTTCTGGCTGCTCACTGCTACCGGCAGCAGCTTTGCTGGCCTCGGTAAAGATCTTGATGACCATGCGCTCCAGGGACCGCTTGAGATGTGCCGCGATGGCCTCAACTTCCTCCTCGCTATGATATTCCGCCTGTAGGGGGTTCCTCTGGGCGTGGATCGTAGGGTTTGGGTCCTCGACCTCGACGTCATGAGCAGGGATCTTCTTGACATCCTCAATGATCGTAGCGGCAGTCTGACTAGCATGCTTCAAGGGCTCATTATCCGGACGCTTCCAAAGCATAGCGCCTTCCATCTGATGGAAGATCGGGTAGTGACTGCGATCGATCGCATCTCTCCGATACACATCAGCGACGACAGTATAGCCAACTTCCTCCGGACGGGTGTTCTCATTGCGATTGATTTGCTGAAAGTATGCCTGCTGATGGGCACTGGTGTGTGTCCGCAAGACCGTCTTGTCGTTGATGTAGTAAGTGTCCGTGCGACTCCGACCGGGGTGATCCAAGGGAAAGCCCAGGACATCAAAGTTCTGCGCCGTCGACACAACAGGGTTCTTCTCGGTGTAGTTTCCGTATGCCGGGCCAGGGAACTGGCTCTCGATCAGTTGGCGCGTAATCGCTAGAGGGTGGTTCTCGTCGAGATATAGGCGGCGGCCGATGTGGGAGAGAATCGTATCCGGAGTATTCGTCCACTGATCTGTGCGGTAGGATTGACCTTCGATAGTCAAGGATTGCGGTACTGAAGGCCGGAGGGAGGGCTTTTGATTGCCATCTGCATTCTCGTTTGTTCGGCGGATTGCCGTCGAACTCCAATCTCTCCGCTTCACGGCAAAGGGCTCCGAGAACTGCGAGAGTGGGATGCGTAGGCTCCGACGTGAGGGAGCAATTGCCCACCGGGCACTGCTTGCGCGCAGAGCCCTCCCAGTGGCAAAGAGACGCATCTCGGAGTGCTGTGTGAGTTAATTAATGACTGACGCCGAGGGCAGTCAACTGCTGGTTGCGGCGTTTGAGAGCTCCGAGTCTACAAAACACATCGGGCCGGGAAAATGAGCCACCGAGGGAGATGCGCACCTGCAACTCACCATTTCAATTACGAGGATATGGCAGGAAAAAAGATATTCTCGATAGATATTTCTGAGGTATTGAGTCATTATTCTTGTGAATTGCACGAGAACAATGCGGTCTGCAGATACATGCCTTACGCGGGTTGTTACTGAGATGCACACTGTAAATTCATCAATCGTCTTGATCAAGAGACTTTCTATTAGTCGTTTAGATCAAAACACCTTGCATTGCCTACCGGGCAAGCAAAGTGATGCAATAAAAATAAACATGATCCAATGCCATGCAAATGTCATCCACATCCGTGCCAATGCCAATCCCAACAACACAATCCCACTTTTTCCATGAGAGAAGTAAAGGAACAAAGACACCAGCCAGGGATATAATATACAAAATAGGAGGAGAGAGTTCAGAAACAACGCCAAGTAACAGAAAAGATATAAAAGCACCAAGACCACACAACACAGGTAAGGTGTATCATACACACATGCGTTCATGGACAAAGCAACAGAGACCTGGAACAATTCCAGATGTTCCAGCCTGTCGGATTAACATAAGTCGATCCCCATCATAGCGAAGACGTATTTGGTATATTATACAACAAGAAGATAAGACAGGGAGGCGGAAAGGGAGAGATAATGGTTAAGAGTGTTGGCGAGACGTCTAGTTCTTGACGACACCGACCTTGGCAGCCTATAGTAAACAAGTTAGCATGGTTGACCACGTATACATGCTATAGAACAATCACTTACGCGAAGAACGCGGCCGTTGAGGCGGAATCCGGTGCTCTGGGTGTACATGATGTCACCATCCTCCTTGCCCTCAACCTTGGCCATGAAGGTAGCCTCGTGGAGGTTGGGGTCGAACTTCTGGGTCTTGCCATCCTCAGTGGGCTCGCTGGGGTCAAAGCGCTCAAGACCGTGCTTCTTCAGGGTGTTCAGAAGGATGTTCTGAGTCATCTTCAGACCGGAAACGAGCTCCAACAGGTCCTTGTTGGCATCAGTCTGGGGAGCATCGAGCTTGTCCTTGGGAACAGCAAGGAGGGCGCGGTCAAAGTTGTCAATGGACTCGAGGAGGTCGCCAGCAAAGCGCTGGATAGCGAAGTTGCGAGAGTTCTCCATGTCACGCTTGGTGCGCTCCTGCAGGTTGAGGAAGTCGGCCTTCGAGCGGAGCAGCTTGTCCTAATGAAAGAGTTAGAGATCTGCAAGGTACCATTTACGACTGTGGAAGGCGTAGCAAAAATTGAGCCGGGCGCTCGTGTTGGAAGGGGAGCTTTACCTTCAGCTCAACGACCTCCTTCTTCTTCTCTTCAAGCTCCTTGCGGACGGGGTCCTCAGCCTCCTGGGCAGATTCACCCTCCTTCTTCTCGCCATTCTCGGCCTTGTTCTCAGTAGAGTAGAACCGGTAGGCCGACTGAGGAGCAATTGGGCGGACAGCCTGGGGGAGCTGCGGCGTGCGACGGAGAGCGGAGGTGTTGATGGAGGTAGGGCGCACAGAGCGGAGGGACCGCTGGGCCTGTCTGAGGAAGGTTCTCTGGAACATTTTGGAAGGAGAGGAAGTGAAAGATGGTGACGGTGAATAATAGAGTATGATGAAGGTTGGAGGCGCGAGAGGTTGAACAAAATCGGCGATATCGTTGGAAAGCAGAACTTTCGGCGGCTTGATCTGACCGCCTTCACCGGGAGAAACCTCGGGCCGGATGATCGCGTGCTGTCTTTAACTAAGCATTGCAAGGCTCTAGCTGACATTCAATACAATTCTCATCTTCCTCAAGCCTGTCTGTCTACTTACCATAAGTATCAAGCTGCTGTCTATATGCATTATTTCTATCTGTGTCGACTATGGCGCATGGAACATAGTATGCTTTCTTCCATGTATAAAAGCGGCAATCATGGCGGTGAGTATACTGCCAAAACAATCAAAGTGCGAAGTCGGTCATCACCGGTGAACAATCTGTGCTTTACGGGAGGAACATGATTCATTGAAGATCTTAGTTAGACTATTGGCTTCTTCCAGTAGTGTGCTATGACTACAGTAGTGCCGAGACGAGAAAATTGATGTCTAAGCCATACATTGATGGCGACTGACATGTGCACCAGTGACCGGGTGAAACCACCTTCCATGAGACGATCATTTTGCTATTAGCACCTATGACTTTTAGTATGGACATCACTACCTAAGGCTTACAAGGAACAATGCCATTGAGAGGGATATCTAGACTGGGTGTAGGCCGGAGGGACCTCATCGAATGGCATGATAGTTGTCTCCAATGGCACAAATCGATTGCGCCAGACTCTCATGGGCATCCCCCCAGGACTCGACTGCTGTTTGCAAAAAACGTCTGCACATGTTTCCAGACAGACGGAAAACTATGGTCGACGGTGTGAAAGTGGTTGGAGAATTTGTAAAGCGACAAAAACCAAGCTCAGTAGACGAGGATGATCCCCGAGCCCACTATTGCCTAGCAGGAGACATCGAGGCTTTGATCAAGCATCATGACAGCGCACATGAATATCATCATGTGTCTGAATGACTGTCGGTGAAGGATCACTCGGTAACTGCGCCCTAACGCCAAGGATGGATCCGATATGAGCCCACAAAATCAGCAAAAGCAATGAAAAGGGATGCATTAGTTAGGAGCTTCTACAGATGGCCCCCAAACTCCATAGTTCGTATTCAACCAGTGATGTTGGCTGGAATATACTTGTGTAATGCGTTTGCCTACGTTGTTGTAAGCGCAGCCGCCAACATTAGTGCAGAGCGCGGCTCATCTACCTAGCTTCAATCTCATCAGGAGTTCATGTGCATCTGCCAGTCGAGGGCTCAGAAGAAGCCTTGTTGTGATCGTATGAACCTGCGGAAGGACGGTCATGCAACAGCACATTTGGCGGAGTAATAGCCTTGCTAGAGGCTACATACAAGGCGCCATGCCCGTGAAAGCCGCCATAGTGCCATCTACGTTCGGCTGGCCAATGTATCATTGCCATGAGAATGGCAGTGTGCGACATGGCTGCAGATTAGTCTCTAGGGAGCGGTTGCATTGCATGCCGGGGACACCGGGACAGTGAGTGGCTATGCCAGAGAACGGGATGTGGTCAGAGCTCAGGGCTTAGCTAGATCGGTTCATGCAGTGTTACCCACAGACTTCCAGGCAGACAGAATCTGACTCCGGAGAAGAGGACTGAGACTGTAAATGAGATAAGCTGAGCAGAGAGATCCAACGGTCTCAAGGCACTATGAGCCTCGCAGGAAGCCAACATATGACATCCAAGCTAGATGACACGAAGGCCGTTCCAGGGGGAGTAAGTAGCACGAGCAAGGCCACGACTCATGGGACATCGTACATGTGACATAGCATGACAGAGATTTGACAAGGCAAAGAAGCTGCAAATAAACTCTGGGTGGTATCCGACACTGCAGGGTCCTAGGCCCGGGGCTTTGGCAATAGGTGACAGCCGAGCTGCATCACTTACAGGGAGGCTTGGTATGGGAGCCGAATACGTGGCCAGCCAGTACATGCAATGCAGTCAAGAGTATGCTGTGCCAGAGCCAAGACATAGAATATTGCCTGCCTGGAGTTGTAACGCAGCTAACATGGGAAAGCGCCAGCTGCTGGGGACAGGTATGCGTAGTATATTCGGCGATCTGCCATTCATCGCCGGCTCTCCACCGTCGGGGCGGAGCTGCATACCCGATGGGTCATGGAGTCTGCGGAGAAACCGGAGCCATGGATATGCGGGATCCTCCGGGATGTATCTACTTTGTACACCATAGACATAGATACTCAAGGTTCAGAACAAGGGGGGTGGAAGCTAAGGGGCATTCATGCGTCACAGGCAGTGGAGACCACGACATGTGAAGCATTCCGAGGCTGTTGATGATGGAGTCATTGGACACTAGTGAATTGAGCATCACGTCGGGAGACCCTGTTTACCGCGTACTGTACTAGTCAAGGAGGAGTCAATAGCCTCGACAAGGAGGCAGTAGAGGAGAGAGAGAGAGAGAGAGTCAAGCCACAGTTGAATTAATCATCAGGAGGTCCACAGTCGAGAGCAGCGAATGGCATCATCGTCATTGTTGGGGATGAGTTCTAAACGACACCAATAATGGGGGCATCTAGTGGCAATAGCGGCAGTTCAGCCACACGGCGAAGGACGAGAAGAGTGAGTGTGGCGAATGCGCTATGCAGATTGCAGCGAAGAAAGAAGGAGAACTGCGTGCGGAGATCGACAGGAACGGAGCCAAAATTGCCTGAAAATGGGCAAGAGCCGAAGAGTGAGTGGAAGGCAGTGCAAAAGAAGCAGATTTGCATCTCCACTGCGACACGAAGGCGTTTGGCTGCGCCTCGCCCGTCGACGAAGACGGATTTTTCACTCGCTGCCTATAAGATGCAAGCAGCTTCGTCTGCAGAATTCCTTCTTAAACCACCTCTCCAGTTCATTCTCAGAACATCAAATTGAATAAGAACCACTCTCGATCAATCAAAGAATAGAGTTGATTTTATGTGGTTGTGGTTGACTCCTTGAATAAGCGCGCCTGCCAGATTTGACGTTCTTCCCGCTTATCTTTACTATCGCCTCCTCCACTTCCAACCACCACCAACTGAGTACTACTACTTATACTACTCCACCACCACCGACTCTCTCCTCCTTCTCTCTTCTGAAGACACACATACAAATAAACAAACAACCCATCAACCATTATCATCACAACTAACAACAACATTCACACAATGAACACCGCTTCACCACCTCATTCTCTCACCTCTTCTCCTTCTTTCGGAGCCCGTCGCTCGTCGCGACCCTCTCTCACCCTCGACATGTCCAACCTCCCCCCTCTTACACAACCTACACCTCCCTCCAACACCCTCATCATAACCGATCTGAACGACATTCTCCTCTTCCAACCCGACTCCCTCGCCAACCTCAAAGCCTATCTCGAGTCTTTGGCTCCTCTCAACTCCTTCTCCCCCCTCCCCTCTCTCCGCCGCATCCTCTGCTCTTTCCACACGGACTCCGACGCTCTCCGCATCCGCAAACTCTTAACTGGCGCACCACTGCTCAACCGCCCTATTATCCCCAAGATCTACTTCGGCGAGCCAACTCCTATCATGGACGACCTTGAGTCCCGCCCTAAACTCCTGGAGGCCCCGCAAGTCGACAAGCTCTTCTTCATCTCACCGCCCCCCTCCCCGCCCCACGGCTGGGTCATGCGCCAGGAAGATCCCCCGAACAAGGAAGTCCATGCCAGCGATCTCGCCCAGGCGTTGGCCAAGTTGAAGACGGAGCAGTCTGGTGTCGAGGAAGCAGCGACGGGAGTGGTGGTTTCATCTATCGAACAGCAGCAACAACAACAGCCAGGTACTCCGATGTCCATGACCTCGGACAAGAGGACGAGCAGTTGGCCCGTGGCCCTGTCGCAGACGCGCAGCCGCAGCAGCACCCTCATCTACCACCCCGAGGACCACGGAGGTAGCCCTAACTTGCCTGCTGTCATGGTCGAGGACACCAGTGCTTCCCCAGATGAAGATATCGATATGGACATGAGCCCCATCGAGATGTCGGTCAAGAAGATGCCGCCCAAGACGTCACGGCCCCCAGTGGAGCTGATGGGGGGTATCTAAGAACTGCCAATTTGCCCTTCGCTACTTTATCATTTTTCATCGCTTCCGTTTCAATGTACAGTCCTCGGTGTGACTGGGCGCGTGTGGTGCATGGGATTGGATTTGCTCTAATTTTAGATTTTAGATTTTGAGATGCATCGCTTGGCCATCAGGGGTTCTCTGTTTACTTGCAGTAAATGTTTTTGGATCATGAAAGGCGTCTGGATATGGGATAGGGGAGATTGTCTTATGTGCATATATGTTCAGCACTTGTTGGTTATGAAGCATGTTTCTCAGCATGATTATTTTACTCTCTCCTTCTTGTGATCGATTCTTGAAAATACAGACCGATCAGCTATATATAGTGATAAGCAAATATACCTAAAAATTGGATAACCACTTGAATCAATCTTCCTTGTATGAAAGTACTAGCTAGCCCAATCAAAGTCTTCATGAGGTCCTTCCGATATTCCCTAATTCAGAACTACTTCATGATCAGATCGGACTCAAATATCATACTAATAATCAGGCAAATATACTCCCGCGTAATGCTGGATGAGTACTCCTCTACTGACTTCGACCTAAACAAGTCTTTCAAAGCAGGTAAATTGGCTTTCATATTTTACTACAAGTATCGGCATATTACCCCGCTGAATGGTAGTAAATACTATACGATCTCCACCACATGAACAGACACGTGCAAGATAACTACTACATCCTCACTACCCCGCTAATCGAAAAGAACCACAGCACTGTTCTTAACGACCTCCGGGCCCAGCACGGCCGCCAACTCGGCAATAATACCTTTGACGGACTGGGGGTTATCAATGGGCATTTTCTCCCATCCGACGAGGTCCTGTAGGAATTATTAGTCAGTATGCAGCCAGAGAGTTGAGAATAGGATGAGAATGTGGGCTTACAATCATATGCACGAAAGTACCGTGGACCAGCAGAAGCCAGTGATCTAGGTCCAGCGCTTTGATTTCGTCGAGAGTCATGTTACCGGGCATGTTGAGGTCGAAGAGGGAGACTTCTTCGTCGTTGATCTCGGCGTCTGCTTCTTCTTGTGTTGCTGTGTTGTTGTCTCCGGTTGTGGTTGTGGTTGTGTTTTGTCGGTCCCGTGAGAGCGATACGTAGGGCCGTTCGTCGAGCTTCTTGGATAGTTCGCCATCAAGAGGGTCCCATGTATGGCTTTCGGGGTCTGTAGATGTGTGTTAGGTACTTTCATTGTAATGGGTTGATAGTCCACTGAGAAACATACCTAGGATGTACTGCGGACGGAACGTTCCCTTGTAGCGCATCTTCTGGCAGGAGTGGATGTAGTAGCCTGTTTGTTATTTCAAGTTAGTTGAGTAAGTATGAAGAAGAGGTGGCTGTGTTAAGCATACCCATGTAATAGTACTGGTATTGCGCTTCAATGGCAAAAGCGATTTCCCGCATTGCGCTGAGTTTCCCAAACTCCCATTGCTCGTATTCCGGGTCATAGCTTCTCTTGTTAGTGGTTTCTCTTGCTGTTTACTGTCGAACACTTACAAGATGTAGACCGAGCTCACACCATTTGGCATAAGGTCCAAGACCGCCACTGCGATGAGCTTGCCATCCAGCCGGTAGCATTGATGCCACGAGCCCAGCTTCTTTTCATCTGATTTGGCAGCATTTGCTGGAGATCGAGTCATTCCCGAGCAAAGGAAGCGCTTGAAATCTTTGTTTGCCCATTTGGAAGCATCCTCTTTGTGGACTTTGGTCTGGTACTTGAGAAAAAGTTCGTATCTCGCACGATGTCAGTATAAACTGTTGAACACACAGGCAGCTGCACACCTACTTGGCTTGAGAGATGGAGTCGCCTTCCAGATTGACCTCGAATCGATGAGCAGGTTCCAAAGGTCTCTTAGTTTTGGGGTCAATGGGCCGCTTCACATTGCTGTATTCGGCCTCGTGGACTGCACCGAGAAGGTCAAAGTTGCACTTGCGACGCTTCTTCTCCCTACGATTAAACATTGGTGAGCTCACACATCCTCCCCAACAATAGACGGTCTACTTACTCCCGTGTCTTGGGGCAGAGGTATGCCGCTCTACGGATATACTCCGGGCCTAGAACGAATTTGTTCCAACGGTTGATAGCCTTCCGTTGGTCTTTCCTAGGCATGAAGGCGGAGGCATCGAGCCTGGACGAAAAGTCAATGCAAGCTAGTCAAGAACAAGAATTGGACCAATTACACACCTCATCGTATAATGAGGACAGCATGATCGTTGCAGGTTCTGCTTGTAGTACAGTGTCCCCGACCTAGACCTAGATTAGCGACTGACTAGCCAGACGAGGGTGGGATGTGGCTCGCATTACGAAGGCGAACCGCCGTACCTTCGCCAGCCCCTGTTGACCAGAGCTTCATAATGCGCCGGGCGTACAGAAACCGAACTAGCGTAGTAGGAGGCACCTGCAGTAGACGTGCATCAGCGGTCCCATCCGGCAGCACGACGACATTCCCGCGATGGACTACTACGGCAGAGGAGAGATTGAGGGTGGGTCCGGAGAGACTCACTTCCATTATCAGATTTGCAGTAACCACAGGAATTGCGCTGGTAACCTAGAGAGAGTTGAATTAGGGCATGTTGGCGCAGCCATAGTGATGACGATGGAGCAGTCTCAGGACGACTCTCATTAGTTGATCGGAGGATATCCGTCCCAGTGCAGAGATAAAATGGGCTTAAGTGGGATGGAGGAGGCCAAGACAAAGAGGATAGATACTACTATAGGTGTATCGGGGGTGCTTTTGGCCGGAAAGTTGAGAGGGGAATTTGGCCGGGAATGAGGGGCAGCCAAAAAGAGTACATCAAAGGACAAGACAAGAGGGGCACAGGATTTCCGATCCAAAGAATCGGTGACGGAGCAGGATCACCGGGGCCAATGATGCCGGCACGGGGAATGAAAGGCTAATCTGACTGGCTGCTTACCAAGAGGTCGGAAAAGCGACAACTTCCTCGCCTGTTCGGCATCGACGATGGGCTCCATGGCGTGTCGTTGCGGGCAAGTAGTGCGATGGAGAAGGGATTAGCTGGCTGCGCTCACGGCGGGAACGGCAGAAAAAGAAAAAGCAAAGCAAGACAGGACAAGGGGCGCAACGGGAGTAAATTGTCCGTCTCAGGAGAATGGAGATCAAGGGATACGGAGAGAGTGTTGAGGTAGTTGGAGTGGGCTGGATTGATGGATGGATGGATGGCTTGATGTTGTTGGTTTTCAAGTTGATGCGGGACAAGAAGATACTAGATGGAGAGCCCAAGGCAACACCGTCACAACCCTCCCTCCTCCAGACAGGGTCATCTCACGTATACTTATAACAATACGCTCAGCTCTGGGTCTACACAACAGGAAGAATCTCGGACTTTACAAGATAAAGATCAAAAATCATACCCACTGGCAGCTTCAGCAGGTGCTGCATGATCATAGGACTCCCCAGTTAGTCCTGGAGGGAGCTGTCCCCGTCACTGCTATCGGGAGGTAGAAACAAGGTTGAAGGTGATGATGCTTCTAGAAGAAAGACCTGAGCGGCTGCTGGCCTGATCACTGCCGCATGTCAGAACTGCTGACCCCCTGGTCAAGTAGGTAGTCAGGTTCAACCTGATTGCTCGTCCCTTGTACTTTGTAACATCTACACGGATCTTGTTTTCTTTGCCACCTAATTGCTCGGTGCCTCGGAGATGAAGGAGATGCGGAGCAAGCACGGCTCCAGAAAAGATGATTTCACTACGGGTTAGTTGGCCATAGCTTCTCATAGTAGGTGCCATTGCCATTTCCAACCAGAGGCAGTGGCCTACTAGGTAGATACTAGACTGGAGAAGCCCCATGACAGAGCGTCTAGTAAAGAGTAGAAACTGTTAGGTTCGGGTTTTAACCTGAGGCGGAAAAGGGTTCAATACCATACGGTCTGGCCTTGTATGAACAGCCTCCATTACAATACGACGGGGAGGGTATGTAAAGCCGACGGTACCTGAACTTGCTTCGATCGAAGCGGAAATTGGCCAAGTGTCAACCTTCTGGCGACAAAATCTTGCCATGTCGTGGATGCTAAGAGTTACTGGAATGTGGCACACGGAAGTGAGTGTGCTGCTGGTCGATCCTGGAAATTCGTCCAAATCAGAATTCTCCTAGCATCGGCGATGACCAGGAGGCAAAAACCCTCACCCCCCCCAAAAAAAAAGTCTCCCCCAGACCATGACATCACGTGCAGGAACTCCCCCCAACGTCCAAGCATCATCGGCATCATCACGGCTTGTTCGATGCTAGGATCTCAGGATCCGCACCTCGACAGATCGCTGCTGCGTTGTCGCGTCCAGATCCAATCGCCACCGGGAAGTTTCTCGAGCCACTATTAGTCTTTTCCTGTGCAGGTTACCTCAGTAGTTCCATTCCTTTGCAGTTAGTCACCGCATCGTCCGAGCAACTTCAACGCTCTGATCGACCACACACCTTTCCTTCCCCCCTCCATGGTTCCTCGGCGGTGGGCAAGGTACGCTGTGTGAGTAAAGCAAGTACCATGTAGGTAGGCCCTGGCCCGCATACATCATCACGAACGCGCAGGTCGGTCTGGATGCCTTTTGCCTTCATTGTTGGGCTGTCGCATCCGCATCATCCCTTGTTCGGCAAAGAGGTCACAGAATGTAGATACTATCTAGTAGAAACGAATAGGAAAACTCAAGAGAAGTCACCCTTCCGATCATTCGAGGATGTGGTGGCCGGCCGAGTGGTTGCTGCTGCCCCGCATCCCGTTTTCAAAGTCAACCTTTCCTCCCCCCCCCTTCTCTACTGTGTTAGACTGTTAGTAGTCACTATTTCCCTCTTTCTCTTCACTGGGTGAGGTCGGTGACATCGGTGTGCTCTCCTCCAATGAGCCCGCCAGGATCCGAGGCGCCTAATGTATGCAGGGCATGCCGTCGCATGATATGGTATCCAATCCGTAGCTTGCGCGCAGGAGGTACGGGGAAAATTGAAGGAAGGGGACAGCACTAGAAGAAGAAGAAAAAAAAAAAAAGATAACATCAAAAAAGGTAAAATTCATTAGGAGTTGAATGAAACGTATAACGTAGCTGGATCATTCGATAACCACTTGTCGATGCAGCTTGAAGCTCCAAAATCGTCCCATCGGAAATAGCTCAACACGTAGCAAGGTACTGCCGGGTCGCATGTGGTAGTTGATTCTGATATCATTCGTTGAAAAGGGGTGCAGACATCGATGCGCTACATGCAGATATTCTACTCTGCATGATGCTACTACCACTACTTACTTAACTATGTAGTATATACCCAGTCAGATGAATGAAGTATCCAGCACATAGTAGATACGTAGATCGGCTGGTGGATAATTGGAACCGAGAGAGGGAAACCAACGAGTCGCGGACTGTTCCACATTGAGGAGACGGATTTAGTATTACACAGCAAATCATCAGAAAGGAGTAGGCACAGGGTTCCCCGTCGCACGGAGTACCGCATCCAGAGTTGGTAAACGAGGTGGACCGATCCCGGGTTGCCTTCGGTTTTCGCTCATGTTCTTCACCGTGAGTTCGTTTTGAACCGGACAAATCAATATGTAGGCTATATCAGAAAAAGGGGCAGTAATAGGAATAATATTAAATATAGCCATCTAAGGAAATATTAAGTAATTGGTGTGTTTAAACCCCGAGAGAAAAAGGGGTTGGTTGGCAATAAGCCATCAGGGACCGGTGTGAGAGAGGACGATGGATTAACTATAGTAGTGTTCCTCTATCGATAACCATAACCACAGTATCTACGCTGAATCCCTCGTCATTTCGAACACACCAGCGCTTACGGCGGACAGCACAAGGGCCTGGTTTGCTTCCTTCGAAAGGAGAAACATAAAAAAGTAGACTAGACTGATGGAGACATGACCTAAAAAGTAAGATAAATTATTTTGCTCATTTAGTCCATGCTAATAGTAGCAGTAATATGAGACGAAGGGAAACTGTCTGTTCCACTAGTCTGGGGCCCTAATTCTGATAGTGCCATAGGGCCTTGAGTGTAAATGGATGAGCGGGCACAGCATTTGGTTGCTGGGAGATGAGATGGACTTGCAAAGCCGTAAGTACCGACTCGACCGAGATGGGAGTTAGGGGACAACGGAAGCTGCAGTAACCCTCTAGGCTGCTGTTGTCCCAAGCAAAATTAATTCCCGTTTTGTGTGTGCGTGTGGGTGGGTGTGGAAAAGAGGACTCCTGCTCCCTTGGTCCAGCCGGTTTGCTGTGGAACCTCCGAGGAGTCCGCAGACCTTCGGGAGACTCAGGAGCAGTTCATGGGGAGGGCAACAGACCTAGTCTGTGACTCGCGGACGCGTGAACCACCGAAGAGAGGAGCCAAATCGACCCAGAGGAACCGCCAGAATTACGCTTGGGAGGTATCAGCATGTCCGGTGGGATGGCCCATATAGTGCAAAGTAGTCTAGTTCATGGATTGCCCTCGGACACACTCCACAAAGCTACGTATGACTGGGGATTTCTAATTTTACTTTAGAGTACCATAGAGAGTTGACAATGGTAAGGGAAAAGGATCGTTTAGGTGAGAGGGTATGAGCAAGCAGAGGACCCCTGGAACCGAACAATAGTACCACCGGAAAAAAAGATCCCAGCGATTAGAATGATGACATTATAGTAAGCGTTCAAAAGAGCAAGTCGCATAGGCTGACTTGGGGGGCAAAAGTAAGTAAGTTGAGTAGCGGCGGTATCTGTACCAGTAAGGTAACTGGTACCTAGCAGAAGAACCGAAAGAACCTGTACGGAACCAGTAATACGGGAACCCACCGCGTCGGGTTGATGGCAGAACGCAGTGGAAAAGCAGTGGAAAGCAGCCCGGACAGACGGACGGGGAGACCGGCGATACAGTATTGGAGTTGTACCCAGACGGTACCGTCCAGCGAAAAGTAGAGAGTGTGGACGAGGGATTGTAAGAGGGAGACAGAGAGAGAGAAGAGCGCGCAAAGTCCGCTCCGGGCGAGAGAGACACAGAGAGCGAGCGACCTTCCTGACCGGATCGCGCCGCCCATTACTATCCCCAAAGCTGTCTCTGATTTCCCCCCCCCTCCGTCCTCTCGCCTCT